ATGTCATTTTCTGTTGGTTCAACGGCGATTAAACCAACAAACGTGGTGATTTCGCCCTGTTGACGGTTTAAAAAAATTAAGATTCAAAGATGAAAAATGGGGATTTAAATAGAAAAACACTGGGAATTGAACCGTCAAACCCAGAGTGGTGTTGGGTGGTCACAATAAGGCCAGATTTGAGCCGCTGATTTATCTTTGTCGAACCTGGACAGGTGAGAGAAGCACTGGTCAACTCCAGTCATGAGAGTCGACAAATTCCGAATAGCATCGAAGAGTTGTTGGTAGAATCATTGTTTTTGTTGCTCAAATGTAGTTGTTTTGTTGATTCATTTATAATTATATATATAATAGTTCTTCTTATTTTTTTTAAATCCACGAATTTATCCTTGTCCTTCCAAGCTCCATTGCAACATTCTGCGTCTCCATCCACTTCGAATGTAAGGGTGAAACAGAAATCTGGTATCATAGTTACTGTGGTAAACCCAACAATAAACCATCCCGGTCACTCCAGCATTGGAGGTCTATGAAATTGGGTTGGTCCCACAGCGGTCTGGGGTAAATCCTCAACTCACCAAGTAAGAGACTATATATAATATATATAATATATAATATATATATATATATAATATAATATATATAATATATATAATATATATAATATATATAATATATATAATATATAAGTTTATATATAATATATAGAATATATAGAATATATATAAATATATAATATATATAAATAATTAATATATAATATATATAATATATATAATATATATAATATATATAATATATATAATATATATAATATATATAATATATATTATATATATAATATATATATAATATAATATATATATATAAACTATTACATGACTACTTTTGGTCAAATCATGTTAGTATTGTTACAAAACCACATTCCATGATATTCCATGAGGCCATTTGCGATCAGAACCTCTTGGGCAGCAAGCTGGATGTGGTGGGTGTGGTCGATATGTCCACCGATGCGGAGTACTTTGCGTACCAGATGAAGTTCCTGGGAGTTCCATCATAAAACATGGCAGGGAAAAATCCCTCCTGGTACCCCTGGTGAACATCAAAAAATAGCTGGGTTAAAATGGGTGTTCATTCCACTAAAAATGGTATTTTGATAGGTATTGATCCATACTCATGGCAGTGATTTCCCATTGAAATGCTAGGCATTTCCCAACTAGCCATGTTACCAGAGGGTAGGTCCATGTTACAACTGGTGGAAACTTTTCTCACACCAAGATATGACACGGTGCATGGCCGTTTCAAGCACGACGTGAAGATTGGGGAGAAGGACGAGCTAATCGTGAACGGCCACAAGATCAAGTGCATCCAAGCCAGTCGTGAGGGCCCCAAGGCGCTGCCATGGAAGGACCGGCAGTTGCTCGGGTGATGATTAACCAATGGCCTCAGGGGTACCTTAAATAAGACACAAATAGAGAACGGCACTGGTGCACTCGATTGAAAAATGCAGATATAAATAGCAAGCACGGGTATAGTATAGTCAATATATGTCATATATATATATGTCATATATATATATATGTCAATATTGTGCACTGCCAAAATTGTGTTGCTTGAAGATCTTGTGCTTTGATGCTGTGATTCCATGGTCAATTTGTAAATGCATGTCGTGGGTCCAACATCCACTTGTTAGTGGTGTTTCCATTTTTTTTGGTGTCAAACTAAGTCCCAGATTCACATTGCAAGAATTGTCAACGAAGTCCAATAGGAAACATTCGGTTCGCACATTCCCACTGGTGAAGTCATCTCTATAAGTCCAATGGCTTTGATTCCGGCTCAACATCCACCCAGTTGCATCACCACCTTTCAGGACATGGGCGTGGAATATGTGATTGAGTCGACTGGTCTCTTCGTCGAAGCGGAGAAGGCCAGAATCGCCTTGAACATCAACAGAATCAACAGGGGGTTTGAACCGTCAAACATAGGGTTTGAACCATCCGAAAAGAGTCAACTGGCAACGAGGAGATTTGACCAGCCAAGACTACGGATAAGAGCCTATGACTGGGAATATGATTGGGATATATGTGATATATAACTTGGTACAACTGGAGTAAGTACATGGGATTGCAAGAAAAAAACCATGGGAAGGAGACCACCGTGCCAGGCTGCAGGGCACATCGAGGCCGGCGCCAAGAAGGTCATCATCTCTGCCCCTGGAAAGGGTGACTTGAAGACCTTGGCTTCTTTGAAAAGCACAGAGATGATGTTTTCAGACATGGCTTTGTCTGAGATTGGCACCAGTTTTGGCCACTTTGATAGGGAAGATGATAATGCATGGGAATTGGTAGTACCCAATTTTTTTGACACCCATTTGTAGGGAACATTGCCTAAACAGGTTACGGGATTGGGGAGTTTCATTTCTTCGACGCTACAAATAGACCTGATGTGATACAGGTGTTTCCCCTTGCCATGTTTTGATGAAAACCCTGCAGTTTTTTTTTCAGCCAGGTTGATTCCCGTTTTCCCTCAGGTTGTCGGGGTGAACCACACGGAGTACGACAAGGCCAACCACAACGTGGTGTCCAACGCCTCCTGCACCACCAATTGCCTGGCTCCCGTCGTCCACGTGCTCTTGAAGGCATGGCGCAGCCACCTCCTGGGGATCGTTTGTCATCTGAGGATGGTTTTTCTTCAACAAAAAGGGCTGCTGTAGTGGGGACATTCATGAGGATATATAATGTTGGGAGATCATGGGGAGAAAATGGGAGTTATGAATTTGGGATTATTGGAATATATACTGCAACCAACTTGATATGATATTTGGAGGGGAATGAAGATCTTTAAATCCCAGCTATAGCTTGATGTGAACAAAAGGGTACAAGGCTTTTGATCCGTAGCCATGTGACATACTATGACCATGTGGATTTGGCTCATTGAGCCCAAGATTGGTTTGTTCAACCCACAACACAAAAGATCATCTTTTTTGGCCGTGTCATGCAGCGAAACCTGCTGAATGATGGTAGCCGTCGCAGGAGGGCATTGGAATTGAGAAGGGCCTGATGACCACCATCCACTCCTACACTGCCACTCAGAAGACCGTGGATGGCGTCTCTGCCAAGGAACGTGCATATGTTTTTTTTTTCGTAGATGATCACCAAAGCATTGTAGCCTTTTATTTGGAATTTGCCAATGTCATTGATGTGCCACAACCGTCGAGTGTATTTGCATTGTTTTTTTTTTGGCTGCTTGTCATGACTCTTGGCAGGACTGGCGTGGAGGACGTGCCGCGTCTTGTAATATTATTCCCAGCGCGACTGGAGCCGCAAAGGCTGTGGGCGAGGTATTGCCCAGCACCAAGGGCAAGTTGACTGGTATGGCCTTCCGTATCTTGGCAGCAAGGTGTCTTGCTGTGAGGGAAATATTTCAGGAAGTATGGCATAATTTAATAATAACTTACCACACGAACATGGATCAGCGCCAAAGACTCACTTGTTACTATAAGATATTTTCAGGACATGAAACTTTCGTTCATATCACCATCTTTTCGTTCTGAGTCCGTCGACTGCCTGAATCGTACCCAAAGATGGATTGATTTCTATCAAACTCAAACCTTGACCCAATCAAGAATCCATGGCTTCACAGTGTGAGAGCACGGGTTTATCCGGAAAATAAGGTACAGTACCTCAAAATCCAAGCAGGCTGATCACCATCCCTATAAAAATGGTGTAAATCCACCGGTTCTGGACGCAACAGCCATTCCCTTCCCTACACCCCATGGCTTCATTGATCCCCAGCCTGTTTCCAAGGCGTGCCCACCCCTGACGTCTCCGTGGTGGACCTGACCTTCACTGCTGAGAAGGATACCTCCATTGAGGAGATCGATGCCCTGATGAAGAAGGTCCCACGATCCCAGTTTTACCATGATTTTTGGAACTGAAGTCCCATTACAGCCTCAAATTTGGTGATTTACCATCGCTTTCCCCATCTGAAACCGCCATAAATTGGGGTGTATCCTCCGATTCTTGGGACGAACGGAATGGATGGGCATCTGCCAAAATGATGATGTGGTAAACCCGAAACACTAAACCAAGCATTGTTGACAGTGACAAAAAAAACATCTTCTTGAAATTATAAAAATCAACAGGGTAAAAGTGGGTGTGTTTTATTGGGTTTATCCCACACATAACGGAGAGTTGGGGAAATTACTATTGGGAGCAGCATTTTGTTAACCATGGGGCCATGGGGTTTGCTGCTTTTACATCCAGATCTAGGTCACCTAATGTGCCAATGGTCTGCTTTCACAGGGTACCCTGTGGGTTTGGAGCTTCCAAAACTCCGACCTGATTCCGCTGAGGCCACTGAGACCTACATGAAGGGCGTCTTGTCCTTCACCGATGAGGAGTTGGTGTCCAGCGACTTCATCCACAACGTGCAGCTGGGTGGAACTCTTCAGAAATATGATGCCCAGGGATGGCACCGGGATAGCTTTTTCCAGGAACATAGTATATAGTTTGGTCATGTTTGGTCAACTTAAGTGCTCAGAGTATCTTAGAGTAGCTGCATCAGTTTGTAACTTAGGTGTTTCCAAATTTGTGCCACTGATCCTCCCCGGAACGCCTGCTGCCAGTTTGAAGCTTCATGTCACTGAGGAACTCCTCCATCTACGACTCCAAGGCCACTCTGCAGAACAACCTGAAGGGCGAGAAGCGCTTCTTCAAGATCGTGTCCTTTGGAGCAAAGGGGGGGGTGGAAAAACACAACACCAAGGATTGGCGGATAGGGAGGGTTAACTGAGAAACATGTTGGGATGTCATCAGTTCTGAATTGGACAGTGAAGTGCTTCGGTTGGGTTTTCTCCTCAGCCATGACCTCCACAGCTTAGTTGGAAGCTTGGAGACCAATTGCTACGGTCCCTTAGTTGCTTATCATGCCCTTTTTTTAAGACCTGGATCTGTAGACTGTAAATAAATGTAAATAAGAAGTGCGAAGTCATCTTACATGAACTCCATTTCCATTTTCCTACACATCTGTTCTCAATCACAAGGACAATTAGATTCCCCCATGGGCAGAACGAATGTCCGTGGTGAAGATGCGGCAAAGGAAGTTTTGGACCGGGGAGATCCACTTATGGATCTTCCACTTAGTAGCTGATTAGTAATAACTCTTCAAACCTCTTGATGGATGGGATGCCTATTGAAAATGGCCATAGTGGATTTTCCCATGAAAAATGGTGGATCTTTCCATCGTTTTTTGTATGTTTACCACAGGGTAATCCCAACATCAGCAGAGTTCTTCAGCAGGTCTCCGTGGGATCGCTGGATTTCCAAGGTCCTGGTACGACAATGAGTGGGGCTATTCCAACCGCATCTCGGATAGCGAGGGGAACGGGGAACGGCATGGGATGGGGCCCTGGGTATGGATGAAACTAGTGATACTTTTGAGATCAGCTGGTTGAGTTTCTGACTGTGAGACGTAGAAATGTGATTTGCTAGATTCTTGTGATCCAAGTAATCCAAGTACTCAGAAATTCCAGCGATTTCTACCCAGTTTTCTGTCCATTCAACATCAAAAAGGACAGTTTTGATTCTGGCAACGGTGGGCCCTTTTCAGGCCTCGATGTTCCCCAGTTCAGGTGTGGTGGACCTGCTGATGCACATGATTGGAGCCTAGGCCAGTGGGAGTTTGTTTTGTTTTCCAGTTCCAAAAATTGCCAAAGATCTTCCATTCTGGCCATTGAGACTGGACTGCAAAGATGCGTCTGCTTGGAGGTTTGAAACCTCAGCCTTGGACAGGAAGTTTGGTAACCCCTCCCTGTAGATGTTGGGACCCGCCCCTGTCCTGCAACATGGATCAATCTACTGTGCCGCTGGTTGAGGCGGCAGTTCGTTCCCGTGATCGGACAGTTCGATTTGTGAATTTTGAGACTTGCTATTTGAGTCAAGTAGATACTTGACCTATGGCCACAGGAGATGAAAATGATCCGCTGCTGATGGGAAGTTCTGTGCAGTCCCCCCAAAGATAGAAAAGTCAACCACCCTCAAAACAGCAGGAACTCCCATTCATGCATATATAACTATAGACGATAGATATAATTATATATATATATACACAAGATTATGTATATATATATATGGATAAAAGTTTGTACATGATATACAATGTAGCTTGTCTAGGACCTTCAACGTTAATTCTGAGATTCCAATTTGAATTGTGGCTGAAGTGAACAACTGGGGCGGAAACCCTCCAGGGTTGACGTACCACTTTCTGTGGCGTATAGAAGCCATTTATATTTCGCAATCTAATTTAATTTGGAGATGCAATCTCAAACATACATATACATACGTAGGTACAATATATCTACAGATGCACATTTAGTATGCATATATAATATTATATATATATACATTTTTCTGTATGGAAGTAGATATAGATATTATACACATATATAACTAGTATTGTTGAGACTCCACCAAGCAGCGACCTCTCAAAGGCCCTTTTGCAGCAGGCAGATCCTCATCATTGCTGGTCGCATCTGCCCATCTCAGGAACTGCGGGCTGCGGGCTGGGTGCGGAGAAAGTTCCACCCGAGTCCTGTGGCGTAGTTGTGTCCTTTTTCTTAGGCCTTCCATGTATCGATGTCAATTTGGTGGCTTTCCATTGGCGGCTGCGTTCTGTTGGTGGCTCGGCCATCACTTTTTGGAGGGCTGTGACTGTGGCGGCTGTGGGCTCTGAAATGGCGATTCAACATCATCACGTTGGCTGGTTGAAAATGATTGTAGAATTGTAGACTCCAATGATCATATTAATGATATTGGCAATATTGGTTCATGTCCCAAGTGTGTACATCCCCAACATTCATATCTGATAATAGTACCCTCTGGTTATTTAACATAGCCATGGAAAATCACCATTTTTAATAGGTAAACCATCTATAAATGGGCCATTTTCCATGGCTATGTTAAATAACCAGAGGGTAAATAGAACAGCCCATTTGTTGGTCGTCTACCCGAGTCTACCATGATTCGGGAACCCCAGGTTTCATGTGCCAGACCGAGTGCCACATCCTTCGCGGAAGGTGCGCTTGGCCGCATTTCAGTGGTACCCTCTGGTTATGACTAACATAGCCATGGTATAGATGGCCCATTGAAATAGATGGCTTACCTATTAATAGCATGGTGATTTTCCATGGCTATGTTAAATAACCAGATGGTAGTTGAATTCACCATGTTTTATGTTGTGAAACGAGAGAGGGGGATTTAACTGATTTAACCACATTGAAATGAGAATGCAGGGTAAACCTCTGTTGGGTAGTGTTGTTTCTGGCAGTTTGGGACCAAGGTGAATGGTTTGGGTTTACAGAACCAACAAAAAGCTGGCTGAATCTTGTGGATGGAACTCTAGGGCACGTTTCAAAGAGTTGGCTTAGAATAAATGGAAAGGTGATGAAAGGTGTGTATTTTTCTGATTTTACATACTGTACATAGTTTTGGTGATCATTGGTTGCTCAAACCCTTCGACAAGGTTTGATGCCTGGGTCGCAGCGTTTTTCCCTGGTTGGTCATTGTGCTGTACCGTTCCCTTCTAGGTTCGATCCTTCGATCTACGTTCTTCGTTCAAGCCTCATTCCACTTGGTGAAAAATTCCCCGTTCAACGGTTAAACCATGGATTTTTCGATGGGTCAAGGAGGTCAATCCCCATTTCTGATATTTCTGCGATCCCCGCAGAGCCCCGCATCAAACGTCACCAGGACATGCTGAGCTGCACGATGTGAATGCACGGAAGACTTCGAAGAAACCGCGACAGGCGGTGCTGCAGATGCGCCAGAGGCCCGAAGATCCCGAAGGGACTGGGAAGTGTTCTGGCCTTGGAGATTTGAGCATACTTGATGGGATTTTCATGGGATTTTAACCAGCCAAAAATTGAGATCTGATCATCACATGCGAATTTACTCAAAACAAATGGAGGCGATCAAACCAACAGTCACAAAGCATGATGATATCATGGGATATGATCGGATGGATCATCAACTGGCTTTGTCCAAAATGGAGGATTTGACAGGCATCATTTAGTATTCAACTATCAGAAACATGGATTTCACCAAGGAGTTAACACATTTGGCCTTGTCTGAAAATGAGGTATATTCGGATGTGGGACCAACAATATGATGATTGGGTATGTCTGAAGCTTGGACCATTTGATAAGGATTGCAACATTTTTATAAGGAATATGATGATTATTGGTGGAGTTGGGGTATTTTCTTCTTAGGCAAACCTAATGGGTGAATGGTAGATGAACAACTCAAGCTTTTTTTTGATTTTGCAATTTTGAAAGGGCAGTGTCTGACACTGTACCTAGTTGAACACGTTTTTGAACACGTTTTTCTTGGCAGGGTATTTATGACTGGCTATGAAGAATGAGAAAGACTTTGAAGTTTCATGAGGATTCGGCGAAGTCATGAGTCATGATTATAGTCATGCTGGCAATATTTTTTCATGTAGTTTCGATTTTACAGACTTTGTTAATGCACACTTCTGCTGGAGCATCTACATATGTATATATATATATACATATTTATCTATGTCTATATACGTTTGAACACTAGATACTCTACTTCTCAAAGTTTGGTACACAACCCCAACTGGTTGAATGGAGAGGATATCCAGAGTTTGCCACGTATTTGCATGATTCTATGTATGATGAAAGCAATTCAACACCTTTCACCCGAAAAATACGATGGCAGGTGAAAAGACTCCGAAAGCGGAAAACACCTTCCTTCCATCAGAAAATCATCAACTGGGGTATTGAAAAGACACCTTCCTATCCCAAACAGGCTATATGGCTTAAAGACTTCGGTAGCCATGGACTCCGACCCTTTTGAAATCGGTGATTTGTCGATTTGTGCAGGTACAGACGGCGCCGAAATCGAGATGGCTTGGGGTACCAAGCACCGGGGGATGAATGACTGGGAGGATCAACATCCAGTTGTCTTGATCTCAGAGTAGGCTTTTGATCCATAGCCATATGTCATCATATGTCATCCTATGTCATCATATGTCATTGTTCATGTCGAAAACGAAGGCAATTCGTTCTTGAGTGCGTTTTGAGAGGTCATGTGGTTTGAACATCTGGCTTCGCCGTTTGCTATTTTTTTGGCATACCCCATCTCAAGACACGCTGCAACTGCTTCAAAGCAGTCAAGTTGTTCTTTGGTGGCAAATCCTCCACGGAATTCCAACCATTTGCAGCTGAAGCCCCTTCAAAGTGGGGGATTTCGCCATATGATTGGTACAGGGGATGTACCCCCAACAAAAATGGCCAGTAGCTGGAAAGATCATGTTCTAAAGCAGAGGATGGCATGTTTTCCCAAGACGTTCAAAGAATCCTTTAAATGTTGATTACAGTATATCTACCACTACCATTTTTCTTGGTGTTATAGGCCCCCTATCTGGTGAAAGCAAGTTTTTCTTTCCCAACGAACATAATCCAAAGCCAAAAATTAGGATATGTCGCAAAAATAGAATTCTTGACCATCATTTTAGGATACTTACCCTCTGGTTATTTAACATAGCCATGGAAAATGGCCCATTTATAGATGATTTTCCCATTAAAACCTTCATTTATAAGGGATTTTCCATGGCTATGTTAAATAACCAGAGGGTAAAAGCATCATTTTGGGATGGTTTTTCATTTTAGAAACACGTGAGGTGCATCGATGGAGGAGGTTGACCCTGATGGGCGTGCGGAGCAAATGAAGGCGGGGGCGGGCATTTTTCGACCCTGCGGAAATGATGAAAACATGTTGGCTACGGTATAGAGGTATAGATTGCCGATTTATCGATTTATTTTTATTTTTTAGAAAAACTATTACAGCCTATGGATCAAATGGTGGTTTTCATAGTGCTGTTCAATTACTAGAGGGTAGTGAATGATATTTTAAACTGCAGAAATCCCACATAGAAGTGGATCAAACTATGATAATACTATGGTGATACTATGTTGATACTATGGTCTCAGTTATATAAATCCCTCCACTTGGTGGGAACACGTTTCTCCAGCCATGCAGCTTGATCGCTTCGCTCCGCAGGAAGCTTGCGGGAAGACCAAGGATGACGAAATCAAACTGCCTCTTGGCCGCCAGTCGTGATGTTAGAACCATAGATGTCCCACATCCTGGTTGATAAAAACCACTGGTATATATTCTATATGTATATATATACACAACATTATACAACATTCTATTAAGTAGATAGTCCAGTCATTCTTGTCGACCAAAGCTGCTGAATAGCTGACCTGGCCAGAGATTTTGGGCTCTGAAAGTCCAACCTCCAGGAATGACATCCGCGCCTGCGTCGAAGCATTGCAGAGCTATGCCCAAGCCACACGTGAAGGTGCGGTTAAAAAACCGCCCTTTTTTATTCGCATGGCATGGAACTACATGGCGTAGACAGAAAGGGACCCTAAATGGCTACTGTAGTCCGGAAAATGGTGATGGACGATCAATTTTTTTTGGTACCCTCTGGTAAATTAACATAACTATGGAAAATCCACTATAAATGGCCATTTTCAATAGCTATGTTAGTTTACCAGAGGGTAGCCTATTTTCAGACAAAACCAAAATTGTGCTTGCATGCCCCTTCCCGAAGGCTTTATCCAGTCCATCAGTGCGGAAAAGGTCTTTGTGCGTGAGTACCAGTTGGGGGGCCCTGAACTCCGGTCTGCTGGCGATTTTATATTCCACGTAAACTGAAATGGGGGCATGACACCGGCTTGAAATGCCGCGGCTGCAAATGTGGCTGTATAGTGATATGTGTATATGATATATATATACATATATATATATATATGATATATCTATACATATTGAGTATGTCTCATACGTGCATCAGATTCAGTGCATTACGGAGGGGATCCCAAGAGCAACTGGGTTTCGCCAGCATTTTTGGCTCTAAAGGTGGTGCAAGGCGCTTCTTTCTCAAGGGATAGGGTTGCCAACAACCACTGATCCGACATTTGGTGGATGGGTGAATCAGGTGCACATGTTGTTCAAGTACACACAGAAGAAATTCTCACATTTGCCATGTGATGTAAATAGACATCCACTGGGTTTGCCTTGGTTTGACAAGTTAGTTCTTGGCCATTAATAGAGGGATACTGTATTGACCCCATGGTAAAAATTGGACCTGGCTCAAAACTCACGGAGCACCCAGCATGACTTTTTCTCATTCACATCCCCAACATGACAAAACTTATATTTGGTTGTCTCCATATTTGTTGGAGAAAACATGGGAACAACTTAAATCTATAACTGGTTCCCATTGTCGTTAGGAACCAGTTTTATTGATAGTGAAACCTCCCCGACATCGCTAGTGTGTTTTCCGGTCCCAGGAACGCTGCCAAGAAGTTGGCCCTCTTGGGTGATACGGTCTCTTGGCGAAAGGTCAACAGTGTCAACAGTGTCCTGTTCTGCCATGTGACAGTACTGTGAATCTATATTAAAACATGCAGATTTGAATATGAAGATGATTTATGTATGATATATATATATATACATATATGTATACACACACCATGAAACGCGGAAAAAAGGAGAATCAGTCTTTTTGGAAGCAGCCAATGGCAGTGATTCTGAGCAGCAGAAATAGGAAGATGGCAATAGGAACTGATTAGTCCTATCAACCCGTCACCAGCACCCATGGGTCTGGGTCTAGTCCCACACCAACAGTGCGAATTCCAGTCGATGAGGGGGTGAATTTCTTCCCCCAAATATGGAATCACCACCCCAAAAACGAACCTGGTAGATTGGATTTGTTCTTTTGGGGGGCCCAGACATAGGTTATCCCGCAGATTATTGGATGTATATAGGCCCTGATGAAACCAAACTGGGACAGGAAGATTTCTTCAAAATTGATGGGAAAACAGATAAATCCCATGAAAAACATGCCGTTTTTTCCGCGCTGGACCAACTGTTGACCCAGGAGCTGTTTTGGAAAGACATCCAGAAGGACCAGGGGCTGCGCAAAGCTTCAAAATATGAAGGGGTGTTTGGTTGTTTGTGTTTGAAAGGTGGCAACTTTTCTGAGGATTGAAAACAGGAAAACTCTGGGATCTGCTGTTCAACAAACTACACCAATTCTTTGAAGTTGGTATAATATTTAGTCTGCAATAGGCATAACTAAGCTACAACCTGCTCACGGTGCTGGTTCTGCACTCCATTCCACTTCCAACCACTTTATTTTTTCAGGATCATTGGTTTTATTCATCGATCCCATTATATTTCACGACATTTCCCTCTTCTTTTCCAAGTGTCTCGCACTATATCCATGACATATCCATCATTCATTTTTCCCCATTCTTCCCATTCTTCGTTAGATGAGTCGACCGCGACCGCCGAGGAGCATAAGAATGCCCTGGTCTTCTTGACCAACTTGGCTTCCAAAGTGGGCGATGATGCCAAGGACCTCAAGGTAACGAGAAATGGATTCCGGGTGGATGAAAAACCGTTTTCTATACATTGGGCACCACTCTTTTTTAAACCTTGGACAGTTTAAAAAAAGGTAATCCAAAGTCAAAAAAAGAGGCAAGGTTATATAACAAAGTCAAGTAATCTAAGGTCAAGTGAAGGAAGTGCCCTTATGATACCCATCTGAAAATTTATGTTTGTGCAGGGTAGCAGCTAGATGATCCAAGATAATCCAGGACTACTGGTGGTGTCATAGTTGTCCTTTCCCCGCTGGTTGATGTTCAGAAATCTCCACGAACAGATAGTTTTCCATCTCCATTTCCTGGCGACAATCGGCATTGGCATTGGGGAATTTCCCTGAACTCTAGAAGGTTTTGTATCAAAATAGGGCACCCTATTATTCATCCCATCGTTAATCGTAATTTTTCCTCATTAATTTATGCGATTTTTTTGGCTATCCTTTTCAGAACCATTCTGCCGAGGATCCCCAACTGATCAATGGCTGGAGATGATAGCACCACTGGGAAGATCCCTAGAATTACAGATGCAACATTGATGGATTATGGTTTCTCCCCAGCATATGCGCTTCATACGTATATATATATATATATGTATATATATATATACATACATTCACATACATAATTATACATGTATACACAGATAGCTTAGTCTACATTAGATCGGATTGGATAGGATAGGATTGGATAAGATAGATGGATAGATAGGGAACTGTAGGAATCCCACTGCAAGCCACCAACAGAAGTCATAAGAAGGAGGTGATACTAGTAGGGTAGTTCACCCTCAGGAAGTTCCTACGCTGCTTTTGTTGCTGTCCTCAGGAACTAACATCATGCATTTGATCTAATTTTAGCAATTTATACAACCTAAAGCACCAGAATATTCATTTACATCTATTTACATTTATCTACATCTACTTACATTAATTTACATTTACATTTATACATCTAAATATCAAGGACGTTTGATTTCCTTTGGGTCACCGTAATGCAAAAAATCGTTGGTTGCCACTGCGTCCCAGCTTGACCGTGAAAGGTGTACAGCAAGCTGAAAAAGAAGAACCAAGCCAAATCCAAGGGCACGAACAAAGGCGCGGCCGTGCACATCGCCCACGTTGCACGAATGTCATGATATGCCGCGTATTTGGATTTGGGGGGAAAGTTCAGATCCCAAAAAATGAAGGAACCATATTTGGAAAGTTCAGATCCCAAAAAATGGAGGAAAACTGTTCCACTACTTCCCACTAAAACCGCCCTTTGTCGTGTCAAAGTTTTCCAACATATCAGGATGCCCCCCTCCAAGGTGAAGATGAAGACGAAGATGAGGATGAGGAGACTGAGGGCCTTGGCCTCAGCAGGGGTTGTACCAACGACGGGCCAATAGGGACGACTAACCCACAAAAATAGGGATGAAACCGGGATAGAAACAATGATGAGGTGTTAAATTGAAGCCAGAAATGGATTGCCAACTTGGGTATATGCTGATATGGTATCTGCGATCCCTGATTGTCAACCAGTATATACTGTATGGATCTGTGTCGCAGACATGGAGGATGTAAGAAACACCATCAATTCAGCTGTGAATAGAAGTGACTCCATGACTCCATATTCCATTATATCACAGTCTTTTCTTTTGAACATATAGTTGGTAAACATCCCCATGTTTGTTGATGAATCCCTTGTTGATAAAAAAAGATCTAATGAATTCCCTGGCAAGCATAGCGGCTTGAGACACGCCTTTCTGGTTGTGTCTTCAATGACTCATGTGGTTCGAGAGCAGTGCTTTCGCTCAAAGTCAACAAGTCTTCAATCAACACTTTGTGATTGATCCCAAGTGACTTTATCACACATTTCCGGGATCAATCACCCCCAGCAGTTCCATCCTACCCGTTCTACCCGTTCTACCCGGTAGCCCGGTAGCCGCAGGTGATAACGACAGCTCCGAGTCCTTCGGAGAGTCGGAGTCGGAGGCAACGGAGTCGGCGTCCCTTGGAGGATTGGATCTATGGTCAATCTATGGTGAATCATATGGTGAATCTATGGTTAATCTATAGTGATTTAATCTATGGTGAATCTATGGTTTATCAATTATGATGATCACATATGATCACTATATCACTATATCACTATCCTCATTCCTTATTCCTGATCTTTTTTTATGCCACTGGCTTGGAGTTTGATTATTGGATTGTTGATGCTTCAAGTCGGGCCTTGAGTTACTGCAGTCATTGTGTCAAAGGGAAATACGGAAAACCCTCATGGATGGACTATGAAAACCCATGGGAAGATCATCAAAAAGGACTTTTCAGAGGAGGATTGGTTGAAAACTCCTATGAAAAACATTGAAAAACTATATGAAGATTCCGAAACTCTTTTTTTCCTCTAGTTTTCTACCTCTTAACCTTCGTGATTCCAGCTGAGTTTTGTCACAGCCAACCGAGGTCCAAGGATGAGGAAGGATGATGCGGCACGATTGTCACGTGCAAAATGAGTGCGGCCTGTGTTGATGTGGCAATTTGGTCCCCAAATTCAGATGCAAACCAGAGGTTTTGCGCGAATTTTTCCTTTCTCTTGGGACTTTTGGGTGCCCGATTTTGAGATGTTTTGAGAGGACCGCACCAAAAAAATCAATCACCGGAGAGGGGAAAATAGTAGATATCGTAACCCCAAAAAGATAGAGAATTTAAGATTGATCGCTGTTTTAGTAGTTGTTTCTCTTTTTCCAATCGTTTTTTCTGGGTTTCCATAGTAGGTATTAACGAGATGCCAGGATGGAACAAAGTCAGAAAACGGCCAACATGCCAGACCTCAAGGCCTATGATGACGAGCTCCTCGTATGGGATCATTTGCTGTCATGGTGGTTTACTATGAAATCCAATTTTTGTAGCGACAGATGAAGATTTGGTCCCCCCAAAAGGACATGGTCGGTACAGGAAATGAGGCCTGCAGCCTTTGGTCTTGCAAATGTGCCGCCAACTGCCTGCCGTTTTGGCCGAAAAAGAGAAGTGCTAAAAGACACTTATCCATCGTTCCGGGGATTTTCATAGAGAACCGACAGCCAAAATGCCAGTGGGTATCTTGGCAGCAGGGCTGGGGTGGTCCTGTAAGTAGTAGTACACATCGTTTTAGCGGACGCCTGGAACGATTGGCCACTGCCGAGCGGGATGCCCTTTTTTTCCTGAGATGGGGAGTGCCAACAGTTCATGCCCCAAAAAGATAAAATTGTGTGAAATTGTATATTTCAACAAACAGTCCTTTTATCTCAGGGGAGAAACAGCTAGGTTGTTGGTCCCGCCCAGCTTCCGACCATTGGGAGTCAAAGCTTAGTAGATTCACAGACCCGAGCTTAGCATGATCATTTGCAGCAAGCTGGGACGCAACAAATAAAGGGTACATACCCAGAAATAAGGGATACCAATTTTCTGGAAGGGACCAATTTCTTGCCATGATGACATGTTATTACTTCAATACCTATACCCCAATTGTTGTCGATTGTGATCCACCAACATGTTTGTGATTTAGTTTCCAATTTCTACTTTCAAAACTAGAAGCTTTTGTTCGTTAACATTCCGCTTCCATGTAAAAACATTTCGGGTTCTGGAGCAAAAAGATCCGCTGCTTTCTCAGGGCGATTTTCCTTGATGCATTGAATGGTTTATGACAGTTTGCCTTGGCTCAAACATATTCTTAGTCTCTTGACTGTATCATCCCATATGTTTTTTGAAAGAACACAACACCACCACGGATATTTTGCTGCTTCAAAACAGCGATTTGACGGAATGTAGGAGAATCTCCAGACATAAGCTCTCATTGATCTCTAGCACCACTATATTATATCACCATTTTATTACCAGTTACCATTATATTACGATTGTATCACCATCATCTTAGGGATGATCAAACTCCCGACATCTTCAAAGAATAAGTCGGTTATATACAATTGTGGGTTACTTCCAATTCTTGCTGGTTATATATATATATATATAAATATCAATTACCATATCCCATGAGTCCCCGTTTTTGGATGAATTGGCTTCGTCTGGAACTTGGGCACCCCCCCTTGGTTCCATTGCTTCCATTGAAGTTGATGGCCATCCCCAAATCCACTATTTGATGCTTCAATTTGGTCAATGTTTTTGATGTTTGAATATTTATATAAATACCAATGTTTGATGGTCAAATACCACTGTTTCTTGCTGAAATACCACTGTTTCATGGTTAAATACCACTGTTTCATGGTTAAATACCACTGTTTCGGTTAAATACCACTGTTTCATGGTTAAATACCACTGTTTCATGGTTAAATACCACTGTTTCATGGTTAAATACCACTGTTTCATGGTTAAATACATTTTTTTCCAGCATGTTCAGAGAAACCCAGCCGCTTTTTCTCCGAGGTATGGGAATCAATGGCTTCGGCCGCATTGGTCGCTTGGTCTTCCGTGCTGCCTCCGGCAACCCAGACGCCGAGGCGGCGGTTGGTCTCTGGTGTCAGCGATGGAAAATGGCCATTGAAGTGGTGATTTTCCCATGAAAAATGGTTGATTTTCCCATGAAAAATTGTTGATTTTCCCAGGAAACATGGTTGATTTTCCCATGAAAAATGGTGATTTTCCCATGAAACATGGTTGATTTTCCCATGAAACATGGTTGATTTTCCCATGAAAAATTGTTGATTTTCCCATGAAACATGGTTGATTTTCCCATGAAAAATGGTGATTGACCTATTGAAAATGGTGATTTACCATAAGTATGTCATATATTAATATGGTGATTGACCTATTTTCAGAGAGTTGTTATTGGTTCTGGTAAACTTATAGCTACCCCAATTAATTTTGTAGATTGAAGCTCATTAAAACCAGAATGTTTGCTGAAAATTCCATTCAATCCCTGGTAATGGGGTCTGGTAAACTTATAAATAGCTATGGAAAATGAGCATTTATAGTTGATTTACCTATGAAATCCGATCAAACATGATGGACAATGGCCATCTATAGTTGATTTACCTGTTGAAAATGGTGATTTTCCACAAGTATGTCATATATCAATTACGAAAAAACCCGCGAAAAGAGCGGAAGAAATGTGGGATTTCAACCATCCACGGGGATACACTGGGGTATGGGGATAGTGGGATTCGCCCAATAAATCTACGTAGCAATTTGGGGATGATTAATTCATGAGCCATTTGTCTTAATTCAGTGTCACTTTGGGGATGGTTTATGGTTTATCAGGGTTACCACATTCAATCTGATTTCTATAAGAGTTGAAGTGAGGATTAATATCCGGATTTAAATAAGGATTGAATAGGGATTTACCTTGAGGTAAACATATCAAAAACATATGGAACACCCATGGGGAAAGGCATATTATCATATATTATCTACATTTCCATTTTTCTTTGTATCTATGTGATTTTTCAGGAGGGTCATGATCCAAACAAAAACATGGCTTTTCCGAAAAGGCGGGGCAAGACATCCGTCGAAACCAGCGGCTTAAACCATCGATGGTAGAATTTTCCATGGCCCCTATGGGCCGCAGGTGAAGGCCATCAACGATCCTTTTATGGCCAGGGGGTCTCAGTCATGGTTGCACGGGTTTATTTCAAGGATTTCTGGTGCATTTTCAATAGCAAACTGTGAAATTATCAGAGGCTACTTTGAAGTATTATTTATAATGGGGCTACTGTAGTACACATATATATATATATATATATGAGCAGGGACCCCCACACCCCCCCCCCCCCAGATGGTTCCCCCCCCCCTGTGGCAGGGGAGGGGGGGTTTTCTCAGCAGCCAAGCCATGGTGTATGTAGTCTTTATAGTGCATATAATGCATATGTATCGATAATTAGAATGGATATACTATATGTAATATAGAGTGTATGTGTAGTGTATATATATATATATATATAAACATATATATATATATTTGACATATATATATATATATTGAACATATTTATATATATATATATACATACATCGTATATGTGGTTTTTGATAGAATATAGATAGTATATGCCACATGTACTGTATCCACAGTAGATGTAATATTTACAATATAGGTAAATATGTTCGTTGAATAAATTTTACATAGTATATGTGGTATATTGAATATCGACAGCAATACACGGTGTATATCTAGATTTTATGTATATATATGTATATATATATATGTATGCATATGTATATATATATATGTACATATATATATACGTGTACAGTATGTACAATGTAAACGAAATATGTGATTGATACAAGATCAAGATATCAATATGTAGTATCTAGAATGTGCATCTATCTATATATACATATATATATATATTATTGTTTTTCTACTGTACATATGTCTAGGTTTGCATAGGCAAGCTTTGCGTAATCCATAGGTAGCAAATATGTTGTAAACCATGTGCGAGGCACGCTAATAGGCGGTTCGAAAAAAAGGTTATGATAGAAATATACAGGTAGACAAGGTCCGTTGACGAGGTCGTGGCTCTCAAGTGCTGCAAATAACGTAGAGATGCGAGGTTGGAAGGGTGGAAAGGGGAGTATATATGTGTATATGTGTATATGTGCAAATAACGTGCAAATACTAGGTTTTGGGGGGGTGGGGGGGTTAGGAGTGGGGGGGGGATACCATTGGGGGGTGCGGGGTCCGGGGACCGGGCTCATATATATATATATAATATCCCATCATATATGTGGCCATGGTTGCCTGTTTTATCATCCAAGTTAGTGGCGCTTTTTTGTCTTCTGGGGAAACCAATGATTTAACTAAGCAACATGGTGTTTATAACCAGCCGCTTATTGGGGACTCAATGTGTATCTATTAATCAAGAACATGATATTTAATGTGGTAAACCAAAGGCAACCCACACCATTTAATGGGATGATTTTAACCACCCATTTCTGAGCACATTTGGGATGTTTTTTTCCCACATCACTGTGTGGGGTTCTTGTTCTTCGCTTGGATCCCGCCGGTGCCGCCTTCGCCTCGCCCTCCGCCGCCTCCTCTTCATCACTCCCTCATCACTCACTCGCTCACTCACTGACTCACTCATTCACTCACTCCACTCACTCACTCACTCACTCACTCACTGACTGACTGACTGACTGACTGTACAGATAGCTTCCTGGCTGCCTTTGGCGTGGCAGGCGCAGCACACAGAGCTTTCTGGAGGAGCTGCGGCGCGGTGGCCGCCGCTGGCCCGCGGCTGCCTTTTGCCTGGCAGGCGCAGTACATAGAGCCTCCGCACTTCCCTTTTGCGTGGCAGGCGCAGTACATAGAGCTTTCTGGAGGATCGCAGTACACAGAGCTTCCTGGCGGAGCTGCGGCGCCGTGGCCGCCGCTGGCCCGCGGCTGCCTTTTGCCTGGCAGGCGCAGTACACACAGCCTCCGCACTTCCCTTGTGCGTGGCAGGCGCAGTACATAGAGCTTCCTGGCGGAGCTGCCGCCGCTGGGTCGCGGCTGCCTTTTGCCTGGCAGGCGCAGTGCGCGGAGCCTCCGCACTTCCCTTGTGCGTGGCAGGCGCAGTACACAGAGCTTTCTGGAGGAGCTGCGGCGCGGTGGCCGCCGCTGGCCCGCGGCTGCCTTTTGCTTGGCAGGCGCAGTACATAGAGCGTCCGCACTTCAGCCCCCGCACTTCCCTTTTGCGTGGCAGGCGCAGTACACAGAGCTTCCTGGCAGAGCTGCGGCTGCCTTTTGCCTCGCAGGCGCAGTACATAGAGCCTCCGCACTTCCCTTTTGCGTGGCAGGCGCAGTACACAGAGCTTTCTGGAGGAGCTGCGGCGCGGTGGCCGCCACTGGCCCGCAGCTGCCTTGTGCCTGGCAGGCGCAGTACACAGAGACTCCGCACTTCCCTTTTGCGTGGCAGGCGCAGTACACAGAGCTTCCTGGCGGAGCTGCGGCTGCCTTTTGCCTCGCAGGCGCAGTACATAGAGCCTCCGCATTTCCCTTTTGCGTGGCAGGCGCAGTACACAGAGCTTTCTGGAGGAGCTGCGGCGCGGTGGCCGCCGCTGGCCCGCGGCTGCCTTGTGCCTGGCAGGCGCAGTACACAGAGCCTCCGCACTTCCCTTTTGCGTGGCAGGCGCAGTACACAGAGCTTTCTGGAGGAGGGCCGCCGCTGGCCCGCGGCTGCCTTTTGCTTGGCAACCAGCCGTGCACAGACACAGAGCCTTGCATGGCAGGCGCAATACACAGAGCTCCACTGCTCATCAAAACTCCTCACAGCTCCACTTCTGACAGGTCCGCTTCTCATCACAACTCATCACAACTTATCACATCCCAACTCATCACAGGTCCACTTCTGACAGGTTCTCATCACAACTCATTGCAACTTATCACATCCCAACTCATCACAGTTCCACTTCTCACACCTCACTTCTCACAGCTCCCTTATCACATCACAACTTCTCATCACAACTTATCACAACTTATCCCATCACAGCTCCACTTCTCACACCCCTTCTCACACCTCACTTATCACATCAGAACTCATCACAGCTCCACTTCTCACACCTGACATCACAAGTCCACTTCTCACACCTCACTTCTCACACCTCCCCGAAGTTCACATTAAAATCTTACATACATAAAGGCTTGACATGTGGGGTTATCCGGTCCTTTTATTTCTTTTAATCTATATATATATAATAGTAATAATATGACATATATATATACATATCTACGTATATTCAGGGTTTACCAAATTACCCAGATTTTGAGAAACAACGGAAAGATCCCATGAAATCCGCAACAAACTGAAGTTATTTGTTAGTCCACAGGAAATTAATTGAGGTATTCTATGTCAAGTTCTGAATCACTCAACCATTCAAAAAACATGTTTTCTTTGTGCATCATTGATGTATCGCAGTGAGCAGGGGGTATCACCATGGGCTGGCAGCTTGACCTCATACCATGAAAGAGGCACAATTGTAGGATGAATTTCACATGCCATGGCGCATTTTTATACCCTGGAGGCAAAAACACCCAAAAAATGGTCACAACGGTTATCAACACATCTGTTTGTTAGAGGAAAACTCACAACATCCGTCGTACTTGTTTATCTGGCAGCTCTAATACGGAGCGTGTGAAGGGTCAAGACGTATGGCTTTGTCCAAGGAGAATACTTTAAACATGGTACTTTGGGGAAATATGATTGTAAACTATGTTTTTTTTTTCCGGGGTATTTTGAGAGTTTTTCAATGACAAGTCAAAGGGTATCTTCAGGGCAGTCCCAGGTTTTATTGCCCGCAAGAAAAGGCAATCTAGCACCATTTTTTTTCCCGGAAGATCCCAGTCGATTGGGATCTTGAGATGCTGAGGATTTGGAGTACATGGTGTATCAACTGAAGTATGACAGCGTGCACAAGACCTTTGGAGGTTTCCACGCACGTTGGGGCTGAGAAATCATCCAATTTCCAGGGGTATACCGGTATACCCAATAATGAACCAATCTTGGGGATTTGTTTTTATTGGGATCGCCCATTATTTGGTTTTAAACTGAAGCATGGATGACAGGGATAGCACCGACAGTGTCTTGATTGTTTGCATCCGAAAGAACTAGATATTTTTGCTTGTTTCCAGTGACATATTTTTGTTTTTTTTGAAATTGCACGGATTTCGGAATTCATTTTCAAGAAGTTGAGGATCAGTTCGACTTATCAAGCAACGTGGCATGATAACTTAAAGGAGTTCCATAGCTCAGCGAAGAGAAGGATGGCTGGACTCACGAATTCTCTTGAGAAGACTATAGTAACTATAGTACTGTAAAGCCTGGATTCATCATGAATAAACCTTGAGTTGGTGAATTGGGATGAATTGGGTGGTTCCCTTTTACCAAAGTTCATGTCTGCTACTCAACTGCAAAAAAAATCCCCATCACCCCATGGCCCTTGGTTCTGTTCACAAGGCAAAAAGGGCTGTGATCCGTAACCATATGAATAGAATACTCTATGACTTTATGATTTGGATGATCACCTATTTTTGTTGGCTTTTAATGGTTCATCCATCCGCCAGGCACCATTGCAGCCAAGAAGGATGCTGGAAAAGAATTCTTAGTGCCTTGGTGGCACGGAGAAACCACAAATGCTTGGGGTTGAGGTATATCATGGTATATCAGCCTCGAATGCTTCCAAAAGAAACATAGCGTGATCTAATTTCCCAATTAAGAAATCTATACGAAAAGATGAGATGGACACGGCTTAAAACATACGTGACATTCATTGACATTCCATCGAAACGAGGGATGCACATCCGAATAAACAACCGGTATGTCCCGGTATTTTTTGTTGTGAAAAGGGATTCAATGCACTCAGTTTTCATTGTTTTTGATGTATTTTGATGTTATGATTTGTTTGTGAGTCTTCACATGCTGTGAGAAAAGAAGGTGAGTTTCAACGCTCCTCCCGATTGACCACTGCGAAGGTTGTGAACGGCAAGGAAATCGCCGTCTTCCACGAGAAGGAATGCATCAAAAAGATGGTGGGTTAATCACTATTGAGATGGGTTGATTTGAAATGGTGATTAACCCACCATCACTATTATGAAATCACTATGATTATGAAATCATCAAGATATCAAAAGGTGATTTCATAATGCCTGTTACCCTGTACCTGGATGATACCAATTGACAAAGTCAAAGTTTTGGGATGGGTGGCTGAACCACCAAAGGGCGTTTTATGAGTTTCTGGTTTGAGATGAATTTATGTATAAATATCCAAAGTTGGTGAACCAGTTTTTTGAAAATCACATAGGTGGAGAAACAACCAATCAACGTAGCGATCTAGCCGTGAACCAAATGATTTATACGCACCAAAATCACCACCAACACCACCAGAAGTGGTTTATCTTCCACTTTTGAATGGATATTCCCCAAAAGGTAGTGTAAACCATTTTTCCCAGATTGCATAGCTCCGAAACGAAACCCTAGGTCAACGGTGATTTCATTCATCTAGAGTACAACATGAATAATTTGGCTTTGTCTGAGAAACACAATTCCATCCAAAAGTCCATCATCTCCGCATTATTGGCTGGCCAAACAAAAATGGGGTATATCCTCTTTTTTGATGGCGCACATCAGAATTTTTTCAGGCTTGGTTCAAGACAAGCCAAATTTCGTTGGTTAAATCCCCATGGTCAAATCCCTGGGTCAAATCTCGATGTTCCCAGGACCCTGCGGCCATCAAGTGGGGCGAGAGCGGGGCTGAGTACGTCTGCGAATCCACAGGTGCCGCCATATGGTAACGAGTCAGTCAGCTGGTGGATGTTGATTCCCGTCATATGATAAATTCATAGGTAGCAAACGACCCACCCCCAATTTTTTTCCGATGACAGTTGCCATTTTCAAGGGTATCGCCATGTTTTCAGAGACAGTTGTGTTTTTCTTGTTGTTTTTCAAGTCTTGTCATATTCTCATTTTGTTGAAATACTTTCGGTTTAGTGATCTCTAGTTGGGGTAGATATTAACTTATCAATATTTTCCAGGCAGAAGGGTTGTGAGCCATTTACCATTTGCAAACCACGTGCTATTGCGGCGATTATCTTAGTATCACCACAGAACCCTGTCAGATCCTTCTCTCTTCTAAATGGCTCAGCAAGTCTAGGAAAGAAATGTGGTACTCATGTGGAACCGGCTCAAACATCACGTAAAAACCCAACTTTCAGCACCAAAAAGTGTCCAGACCTCTATCTTTACATATATATATACATACACATGTCTCATACGACATAAATTGCTGGTTATTAACATTGTATCATCAACTTGGGTGTTTGTCCACCTGTTTTGGGGGTTTGTCCACAAATGTCGCCAGGAATCTTCACCACACAAGAGAAGGCACCTTGGGATGTGGCCAGCGGACCATAGGGATTTGAAACACCAAAAGTCAGGTACTTAATATGATATAACGAAGCAACATGGATATTTATTGGGGGCATTATGATGTATTATGATTAGATTATGGGCATATAGTATGTAGCATCACGGCTTTGGGTTTGGGTTTCAACAAGTAAATGGGGGGGTATCACCTACCGCAAATGGGTACTTCAGCCTTTTAACCACGGTGGATTGAAGTGGAACAAACCTGGGGAGGGTCGCTCCGGTCATCGCTGGCAAGCTGGGAGTTTCCTATGGAAAACCCCCGAACGAAATAGATGTTTATATATGATTTATATGGGAAAACATCCAGAAATGGCGGATTTTCACAGTACATCCTGAAAATTGTGGGCATTATCACGCAGCGGCCCGTCCCAAGTGGAGAAGTGCCCCATTTTTGAGAGTTCCATAGGTAGGTCTCGGGGGCCACGGGAACACACTTCCCTGAATTTCCCATTGTTGCTGAGGCAAATGCCGAGTAGTTTCACTTTCGTTTTCAAGTTTCGAGTCTTGCGAGTCTTGGCCCCCCAAAATACAAAGAAAAAGGACCCGTATCCCTTACGATTGAACAGTTTCTACCTCATTCAAGACATGTTCTGGAGTAGAGATCCGGATTCTTGGTTTTCCATATGGCAACTCTCTTGTTCGCTACCTCCAGAGATTTTGCATATCATATGACCCAAGCCCATTTATCGGAGAGAACAAAATGGAATTGGCTCCAAAGGTTGTTGCTTGGTGACATCCCCAGCCTATTGTTTCAACAACATATTAACCATTGAATCACCATTATTCACCATTAAGAACCATTATTCACCAGTAATAACCATTATCAACCATTAAGAACCATTATTAACTGGGGTAGTTTGTCCTCAACTTATTTCTGTTGATATCGCAACCTGCCAAATCAGAAGATTCGGAGGGCTTCGGGGCGTTGCTGTTCCGAATGAGTTCAAAGCCATCCCTGTTTTTACCAGACTGGATGGGATTGAAGAATCATCTCCTTGGGGTCTTGCTACAGATTTTGAAATGTAATATGATTATGGAGGGGTCAAGATTTTTGGGATTATGGACTTGTAGGAAGATGATGGAATATGATTTTGGGATTATGGACTTGTAAGTTTTATTTGCAGGGGTCAACTATCTGTGTTCAAGCAACACTTGGAATGTCAACATTCACCATCTGAGATGGAAAACACTATTGGCCATTCATCATCTATCATCACTTCCTCCGGCGAACATGGCTTGCTGGAAAATTCCCCAGCTACAGTTCGATATGATTTTCCCAGCGACAGAAACCTCCATGGCTAGGCCACGAGGATTTTCCAGCTAGCCATGTGGACACCGAAGAATAATCCTATTGAATCTCTGGTAAATCTCCCAGAAAAGCCACAAGAAATCACGATTTTTGGTTGCTTAAATCACCACTGAATCACCATTATTCACCAGTAAGAACCATTATTAACCATTAATCACCATTAAATCACAATTAACCACCATCAAATAACCATTGAATCATCATTAAACCAGTGCCAGCACTAGTCACTGGCCTCACTTTTATCTCCCAGGCGGCTCTGCACATTGGTGGCGGAGCCAAGAAGGTGATCATCAGCGCTCCACCCAAGGCGCCGATGAGATATTGATTAGCCGTGAACATCCATTGGTTAATATTGATTACAGTACCCTCTGGTAAACTAACATAGCTATTGAAAATGGCCCATTTATAGATGGTTTACCTATTAAAATTAAAAATGGTGATTTTCCATGGCTATGTTAAATAACCAGATGGTAATATTGGTTGTTAATGGTTAATATTGGTTAATAATGGTTAATACTTGTAATCATGTTAATGATGGTTGTCAAAGGTTAACCAAGCAGATTCACATCCATGATGAACCACTAACAATTATGATCATCAACCATTATATAATGGTTATGAAAACCATGAAGATTCATGAAAAGATGTTATATAGATAAAACCCAATGATCTTAATGGTTGTCAATCAACACATCATCATTTTTTTTGGTGAAGAGTGGAAGACTTTTGGGGACAGACTAGCAAAAGAAGGCTCAACCATTTGGCTGTGCGAAGCCGCAGGATGCCGTGCCCATGTACGTCATGGGTGTGAATCATGAGAACTACAAGAGCAGCGATACCGTGGTGCGCAGCCCTTGGGAATGGGATGGGGATTTCAGATCGGTGGTTATTCAGAATGAGATGGCCATCCTGTTGGAACAAGGGCGGTATTTTATTACCGGACTCAAAATCCCAACATGTGGAGAGCATTCACAAACAAGACATTCGGAGCCAAAAGGATCCCATGAAATGTAAATGACTATGGTTCAGTGCTGACCCCCTTAATTCAGTAGCAAGACAAAAGGATGACCTAACCAGTCACTTGTCTTTTCTTTAGATTCTTTTGCCCATTTTGTAGAGCCAAAATGCTGCAACTTGAAAGAAGTTTGCAAAGAATTAATGTACAACATGAAAAGGGAGACACCCCCCATCAAATGGTCGTGGGTCAAAATCTTATTAGACTCGTCGTCCCGAAGGTTTTCTTTCTGGGAACGTATATTGTACCATCAATTTCTTGGTGGTCATTCTCGGGCTTCGCTGAAGTTGCAGTAGTTGTATCTCATTTTGGTTTGATTATATACATTGTATATAGTATATACATATGTATATATATACACATACACACACACACACGTGAATGTACGAGATGTAAATGAACCCTGCAACAGAAACATGTAATGCACATGAACATGAAAGTCATGCATGTATATATAGCAATATATATATATATAAACATAATATCACATTAATATAAGCTGTAGACTGTAGATATATTTGTATATATACACATAGTAATGTGGTTAAAACATGTTAAAACAATAATTAACCATCCCCTAGATCACCATGCTTATAGGTGGTATGTTTCCCATTCCCAGTCATGGGTGGTTTATGGCATTGTTTTACCCACATTAATATCCATCACAATCCATTATTATTCCAATAATATCCCATTATAACCTGTTATTGTTGGTGAAACCTCCTATTCTTGTTGGTAAATACCACCAATCATTAACTTATGGATATATATATACCTGGTTGGTGGTTTGGAACATTTTTTATTTTTCCATATATTGGGGATAGTAACCCCAACTGACCATATTTTTCCGAGGGGTGGGTCAACCACCGACCATATATATATATATTGTTGGTGAAACCTCTATTCTTGTTGGTAAATACCACCAACCATCAACTTATGGATATATATATATACCTGGTTGGTGGTTTGGAACATTTTTTATTTTTCCATATATTGGGGATAGTAACCCCAACTGACCATATTTTTCCGAGGGGTGGGTCAACCACCGACCATATATACATATATATATATTGTTGGTGAAACCTCCATTCTTGTTGGTAAATACCACCAACCATCAACTTATGGATATATATATATATACCTGGTTGGTGGTTTGGAACATTTTTTATTTTTCCATATATTGGGGATAGTAACCCCAACTGACCATATTTTTCCGAGGGGTGGGTCAACCACCGACCATATATATATATATTGTTGGTGAAACCTCTATTCTTGTTGGTAAATACCACCAACCATCAACTTATGGATATATATATAGTACATTAATATATTCTCCATGTGTTGCAGCTTCCATCTCCAGGTCTCCAATGCATCCTGCACCACCAACTGCCTTGCTCCTTTGACCAAGGCGACCTGCGATCGCGATCGGATGGAGCCGGGAGAACCCCGTTGTCTTTAACGTTTAAGCGGGATGAATCCAACAACAATGGGAACATCATAGGATATACCCTCTGGTAAACTAACATAGCTATGGAAAATCACCATTTTTAATGGGAAAACTCACTATAAATGGCCATTTTCAATAGCTATGTTAAATTACCAGAGGGTACATGTATCCATAATTTTTTCTTAGTTAACTCTGGTTCCTGGTAGATATAAAAATGGGAATGGAATTTATAAACCAACTAGCTATGGATCCAGCCATACCTTCGCCGTACCTTCTCAGGAAGTGCTTGGATCCATAGAGAGTGTATATGGGAGTTATGTATGGCAAGAGGTATATGTATTTTTCAAGAGGTATTTTTTCGTTAACAATTAGAGATGGTTTGATATCCCGGTTGGCCTAATGTCCAGATTTGTTTGTTTCATTCTTAAGTCCGCAGATTTTCTGATTGAATTGTGCCTCACCAAGTGACGTCACTAGATATTTTTTTAAAGGAGAACTATCCCCAAAATGGCATTGGCAATTTATTGGAATTGGTCCATCCATCCATCCCTCCATCTATCTACCTATCTACAGTATCCATCCATCTATTCATCTATCGATCTATCTAGCTGTCTACCTATCTACCTACCTATCTATCTACCTACCTACCTATCTATCTCTCTATCTTTCCATCTATCTATGTTTATCCCATTCCAACCCATTCTAGCACCATTTTTTATATTCCCATGTCTGCCACGGAAATCCCATGTCCTGATCGACATCAGGTGGTTCACGAGAACTTTGGCATTGTGGAGGGGTTGATGACCACCGTCCACGCCATTTGGCTCCAAAACACATGGCGCAACGGGCACCGAACTATAGCTATCAGCTGGGCTATGAATAGCCAGCAGCAAACCCAGCAAACTAACTATGCGATCAATTCATCAATTCATGGTATTTTGATTGGACAAACATGGGATACACAACTAACGAATCTGATCTTTGGGGGTGTCTGAAAATAGGGGAGTAACCCTCTAACTAGGCGTGTTTTTATTTAGGAGCAGAAGGATTCGCCGGCGGATTTTGGAAAGGATGCTGGTGCCCAAACGCTTCACAAAGGGAGCCGATAAGAAAACAAGACCCCTTGGGGCCCCAAGCGCCCCCCAGAAACATTGAAGGTGGAAGCTGCCCATGATCCAAGCAGGGTACTCTATTGTTGGATCTGGTGAGTGTTGACCGACATTGAACTGGCTGCTTTTTGTTAGTAATTCCGTCAAAACCAGCACTTCGGCAAGTTGGAGTCAATCACTTTTGACGATTCTTGACTGGAACAGTAACTTGTGTTGGCACCATCTCAACGCTCATTTTTGATAGTTGCACTTGGATGCATCACACTGGAGTTTGTCACCATTTGTTGGTGCTTTCAAGCCACCATATTTTCACCAAAGTTTATCCATTTTTTTGTCGGTAAATTTTCGCACCGTGTTTACACCCCTCATCTTGATTGGTTGAATCCCAAGTTTTTTTTTGTGGTCAATCTCTCCCTCTGTTGGGCTTCAGCCCCTAGTTTCGAAGTCGCCAAAACTTGGGGGGTGAGTTATCACCCAGAATGGCTGGTGATTATCCACCGTGCGAGCCGCCAAAAAAGGCCATGACCGCCACCCAGCTGACCGTAGATGGTCCCTCCCGTGGTGGCAAGGCGCACAGAGAACCTGGAGATGATGGCTATGTTCATAGGGAAACATGATGGCAAACATGTTGATCAACTGGTGGATTGCGGGAGGATCATCCATTTTTAGAATTTTCTTTTTTTGGAATTTGGATACCCCCAACCTGCGCAATAGAGTTGGTGAATTCTAGATGTTGCCATGGCGGAAGCGCTCTTGGGCCTAAAGTGTTATTCCAGGGCGCTATTCCAGATTGTATTGCGAATATGGTCCAGTTTGAACTTGAATTATATAGAATTCTCTGTGATCTTTTTTTTCAGTGATACGTACAGTGTCATACAGCACGACTTAGAGTTTTCAGCTGTTTTCGTCAGTTTTTTCCACCTTTTCAAAGTGTTGAATTCCATCCCCCCTCATATTTCTCACATGTTCTAAACCTTTCCAAAGTGTTTAATTCCCCCCTAATATTAGACATCTTCTAAACGATCCCATGTCAGGACTGGAGAGGAGGCCGATGTGCCTCGCAGAACATCATCCCCTCCTCCACGGGGGCTGCCAAGGCATGGCGTTCTCGGAGATTTCTGGGGATTTTCTGAGGGAAAAACCAGGAACTGGGGATTCATCCGATTGGTTCATGGGCATTTCCCATGAGATAAATCGGGGGTTCTAACAGAAAAAATCCCGCGATTTTTTACGAAAAAAATGATGGGGGGGACATGATGAAAAACCAGACGAAAAATGGAGAAATGCAGACGTGTGATATTTGATTTGAATTTCACAGACATTACCTGGTTGTATACTTGAATTAGTGACCAGTGTGGGTCAGTGTTGGTCCCACCAATGCTCGCAGGGAATGGAGATTTCAGCTGAAAAGGGGATGCAACATGGTGAAGGAGGTAAGACCTTGGTACACCTTGGTGAATGGTTTGTTTTCATTGCTCAACTCCCAACTCCAAACCATAGATGGAGGAATAGAATATCAAATCAAGGTGTTTGCAGGGTGTCTGAGGCCATGGTTTGCCATGATTTGGCAGATTCTGTTGTAGATTCCAAGATATTTCAGCGAGACTGTTCTTCTCGGTACAGAGATTGGACGTGACCGGCACATTACATCGACACAAAGCTTCACCTATCTGTTTGGTTGACTTTTTGAACGAACGGGGATAGCCACTTCTCCTGGCTCCAAACTTTAGTTGCCGCAGGCTGTGGGCGTAGTCATCCCTGACATGAAGGGGAAGTTGACCGGGTGCCGGGGGGACTAGGGTCAGGACTCTGGCTGAAATCATCGCAGGGAGCTATTTTTTGGGGGTGAGAGGGTGGTCGTAAACTCTTGAATTCAGGAGTTCTTCAAGTGTTCTTCCCTCTAAAAGAAACTACCTCAGGTTTGGAGCCTGAGGCTCCCCCGATTGAGGGTTTCATCCCAGAAAAAGCGACTTGCAGGTCATGTGTTGGCGATGCCACGACCACTAAAATAGAGTTTGGACCAATCCCACAGGAGAGTTTTCTTCCGCACTTATTTCTTTGGGGTTTCATGCACCCCGCAAGGTAGATCGAAGCACAAAATTATAAGGTAAAACTTATCCATATAACATCCTTCAACAACTTTTCTATCCATTACAAAACCATCCAAAAAGGATAGAATTCAAACTCAAATCCGACTAATTCCTCCCCTGATATTTAATAAATTCCCCCACTACGCTGCCAAAATGAATGGATCCAGTACCAGGGCTTCTTGGGGGTATGTGATATCAGGGGGCAGGGATTAGTGATAAAAGTATCATTTCCACGAAAGCGAAACATCACCATCACCTCCTTTTTTTGGAAAGTTTCTCTTCTTTCGTCAATGGGGTTTCCCTCTGGTAAACTAACATAAACTATGGAAAATCACCATTTTTAATGGGAAAACTCACTAAAAATGGCCATTTTCAATAGCTATTTTGACATAACCAGAGGGTAACCCTCCATTGATCCGACCGCAGTATGGCCTTCCGGGTGCCCACGCCGGACGTCTCGGTGGTGGATCTCACCTGCCGCCTGTCGAAGCCTGCGAAGTACGAGGAGATCGTGAAGGCCATCAAGGCCGGGATCCGGGAGGTGGGGATAGGGGTGGGATTGGGGATGTAAGTGATACAACTTACGTATACTCAATACATACATATATATATATATATATTATAATATACACATACACATGTGCATATATATATATACACATATCATGTACAAATATCCTGAACCACTATAATTGATGGTTCCATCCCCATATTGGTGACCGCCTTGAGGACGCTGCCGCGGGACCCATGAAGGGCGTCCTGGTGGGAGGGCTCAGTGGGATGTGACCCATTGAACCGGTGGGCCCATGAGTGGCCGAAGATTTCAGCATGAAAGCTACGGATTTCATCACTGAATTTCGTGTAGAAAAAAGGATCTGTCCAAAGATGGGGGAGTTGCTCTTTCAGAATGGGCTGAAAAAAAACAACTGGGTTTAATGGGATGTACAACCAACAGTAGGATTTGTCCAAGACCGGCGATTTATCCCTGCTTCATTGCATTTTTGATTCAGAACATATGATAAAGTACTGAATCTTTGGGTACCTCATTTTCAACCCAACCCAAATCACCAGTTAGTTCAGCAGCCTTGTGTGTGGTTAAGGGGATTGAGAATTCAATGAAATCAATAGGTAAAGGTTGGCAAAGGCTGCGTTGAGCTGCTTCTCCGGCCCCCGGTTTTTGATGATTGATGATGGAGCATTGGTATTTTTCATTTTTTGGGTGGGGTGAGACATCTTATGCTGTTTGAGATTGTTGAACAGATGGTGAACTATTTGGAACACATCTATATCCATATCTATATCTATCTCTATCTCTCTCTCTCTATATATATATATTGCGTGGACATTTTGTTGCCTTGAGTAGTTGATGAGGATCTGAAATGACATGCCTTACTAGAGAAGACTACTATGACATGGATGAGATGGCACGTAGATCGTCTTTCCTGTGGTCTCAGAATGGACTTTCCAAGGGTAAGCGGTCATTGTTTGGGGTTCCCTACTCAGCTTGTGAACAAGGCTTCACTAGGGATTAAGATCTCAAAAAAGCGACACAGTTTGGCAATTCTTGGTAGTAAACCATCCAAGCACAGATTGACTTGACAGGTCATAATCAACATGTTATTTAATTCATCACAGAATCTGTGTTGACTTTAAACCAAGATAATAAGTTACCATCATTTGCCCTCCGGTAATTTAACAGTTTGCTGTGGAAACTTGCCCATTTAGTCCGATGATTTTTATACCTATTCCTTTTGTGGTGTTTTCCATAGCAAACTGCAAGAAACGACCAGAGGGTAAGAAATCTCCCAGTTATGGCCATGTTGGTTTATAAAATCCATTATATATATAACACAAGATATGACGTTAACTATATACGTAGTTAACTAGATATATACTATAACTATATTTTTATATACATAGTTAACTAATGTTAACTATACATTTTATATACGAACGGTTTAACGATATATCCAGCACAGTTCTCCAGGACTGGACCGACGAGGAGGTCGTCTCCACGGATTTCGTGACCTGCAAGGTGGATGTGTGGCAGATGAGAACATGGCAATGGTATTGATATGGCAGTGTGTCAAAACCAATAGTACCCCTGTAGTTCACATCAAAATAGCTGGTAAATGGATGTTCATTCCCCTAAAAATGGTATTAATAGGTATTGACCCATACCCATATGTAAAATGATCAATATATATAGATGATATAGATGATTATAATCATCTGGTAATATCATTTTTATATGATATAGTCAATATTTACTCATATGATGTAATCATCTGTTGGTATATAGATATAAAAGTGTATTGTAATAATATAGATGATAGATATATGATGATGATTGGCAGATTACAACTATATAACTATATAACTATAGGTTAGATGATTTAATAGAAACTGGATCATTGTACATGAAATCTATAGATATATAGTTATATATACATATATGTAATATATATAAAAGTGTATATACACCAATATATCAATACTTATATGAATATATGTATATATATATATGTATACAGTATATATATATATTATAATTAGATGCATGTATACTACACCATAGAAACTCCCCGCAGCCCCAAATCTCTGGGCATTTCAACCAACGCTCGCAGAGTGGATTTCTGGTGAGGCATCCTCCATCTTCGATGAGAAGGCAGGCATCTCGCTGAATGCGACTTGGCGATGTGAGACCTGGGTCCCCATATGGATAGGACGCAAGTCCATAGGGAAAAAAGTAAGATGAATAAGAGGTGAAACCCATTTTTGGGAGATTCCCAGATATTTTTTGCCTGACAAAGGAGATTTTTGGCGTGAAGACAACGTACAAGAGCAACAGCATCGAGATTTTGGAACCAAAACTCGGGTGCCAATCCAGTGGTTTTGAACACATTTTTAGTATTAAAATGGAGGTAGATTGGGATATACCCCATTTTTGCACCCTAAAATGGGTAAATTTATCGTTTCCCAGCTGTTAAACCACCCTACAATCGCTGTCCAAGGACAATTTCGTGAAGTTGGTGAGCTGGTACGACAACGAATGGGGTCCGGCCCTCATGGTCGCCTGAGGGTCACTTCGGGTGAGGGTCTGAAGGATCCAACTTTTGTGGGGCCTCAACCGTTTAACGAGTGAACTGTGGTGTTTGATAGTTTAGTAACTTAGTATTTTTACATGACTGAATTTGTACTGGCTGGTAAGTTTTACCAGGTCCAGCAAAATCTACCTAGTAGAAGTGGGTCAAAATTCTAAATTCTGTTGGGAACCCTTTTGAAATTGGTTCAGATGGGGAATTGTCCCGATTTTCAGGGTTTCATCATTTTTAGGAACACTAACCTACGGCTTTCTTGTCCCCGAAAAATGGCTGGTTGAATTTATCCATTTGGGCTGTGCTTAAAGCTACATTTTTGCTGGTCAAATCCATATATTTGCTGCTTACAACTCCATTTGGGCTGCGTAAACAATCGTGTTTGATGGGTAATCAATATTCGAAGGAAGTTTAGAAGTCAAACTTCCGACAATATGGACAGATGAAAAGCAGAGCAGGGAAGAGGCAGAGAGAAGAGAAAGATTAGAAGAAAGAAGAGTAGAAGAGAAAGAGTAAGAAGAAAGAAGATGCAGATGCGTGAAAAGGTAGGAATGTCGCGAAACACTGTGTTTTTCCAATGATTAGGGGCTCCGGAGGGTCGAAAAGTAAGCTCGCTAAAGCGGCGGGTGCGGAGCCAGCTGGCCAGATGAGAGATGAAAAATTGCACGCCGTTGTGGCGCGAAGCACATTTCCAAGTCAAAATGTACAAAACACACCATTCTCGGACCACTTTTGGAAGTTGCGATGTCGAAAAAGTGCACGCCGTTGTGGCGCGAAGCACATTTCCAAGTCAAAATGTACAAAACACACCGGTTCGGACCACTTTTGGAAGTTGAGATGTCGAAAAAGTGCACGCCGTTGTGGCGCGAAGCACATTTTGAAGTCAAAATGTACAAAACACACCATGTCGGACCACTTTTGGAAGTTGAGATGTCGAAAAAGTGCACGCCGTTGTGGCGCGAAGCACATTTCGAAGTCAAAATGTTAAAAACACCAGGGGTTCGGACCACTTTTGGAGGTTCGGATGTCGAAAAAGTGCACGCCGTTGTGGCGCGAAGGACGTTTCGAAGCAAACATGTTCAAAACACTAGGGGTTCGGACCACTTTTGGAGGTTCAGATGTCGCTTCGCTTCACTACACACTCCACTACACACACTACACCATACACTGAATGACACCGCAACACAGATAGACAGGTAGACAGCTAGACAGATAGACAGATGAAACGGGAGAGAGATAATAGGTAGGTAGATAGATAGATAGATAGGTAATTAGATGAAAGAGAGAGAGAGAGAGAGGCCAGCTGGGTAGATGAGATAGATAGATAGATGGCTAGACAGATAGATAGGTAGGTAGATAGATAGATATAGGTAGATAGGTAGATAGGTAGATAGGTAGATAGGTAGATAGATAGGTAGATAGATAGATAGATAGAAAGACAGATAGATAGATAGATAGATACATAGATAGATAGAAAGACAGATAGATAGATAGATAGATAGATAGTCAGAGAAAAAGAAAGAAAGAGAGAGAAAGAGAGGAGACCTCAAGCACCTTTCGGTCCATCAGTGGCTTCGCTCTGCCATCCCTGATTCACAACCACCAACCTCTCCTATAGGTTTCCTATTTTTGAAACTTCTGCCACCGCCTTGCGCGGTACTACTGGTAATTAATCATGTTCTTAATGGCAAATCCCTATTTTCCATGATGGTTGAAAAATCACCTAAACACCATGTGAAAGAAACTTTTTTCCTAGGACTCTCCCAGTTTTCTAAGCGTGCCTTGTTTGAAAAATCTGAGGCTACTCCAACCGCCTGGTAGAGCTAGCTATCCACATGAAGAAAGTGGATGGATGAGGCCTGGACGGGACGATTCTTGGAGATTTTTGGCTCCACTTTTTTCGAGTGATGTCATGGGACAGTTTACCATCCATGAAAACATTGGGAATGTAGAAATTGAACATTTGTGGGAAGTGGGAAGAGAACATGGTTTCCTGTGGATTTCTGACCTATGTGAAAATGGGACAGGGGAAGAGATGGGGAAAATTTAACAATCCCCAAACTTTCTGGGGATCCGTATATGGAGGAATGGCCATCAGAATGGGAATATCATCAGAGGGAAGATCTGTTCAGCAGCAATAGGATTCAACCCATGAATTTGGGAAGCACATCAAGGAAAACTTCGGGTGTAGCAACAGGAAAGGTGGTTGGTTTTACCAATAAACATGGAGGGTTCACAAGCATTGGGGATGAAGTTTGGGGTATCAACATAAATGGGCAAACATTGGGGATTTACCTGTAAAAAAAGGGTAAAACACAACAACAATAGTGGGAATATCATCGCCAACACATGACAAAGTGCCCGCGAAGAGGATTCTCGTAGGAAAATCCGAGGTATTTCAGTGGTTGCACTAATATTTTACCCTCTGGTAATTCAACATAGCTACGGAAGCCGTGGCCCATTTTGTTCGATGATTTATTGTTTCGAGAAATGATGATTTTCCCATAGTGAACTCTTAAATCACCAGAGTTTATGCGAATTTGGGGCATGATCCTTTTCATGGCTCGGAAATTGCGACAAGTGATCCAGAACCAGTCATGGGTGAGGATCAGCCGCTGTCAGGTGAACTGCCTGAAAGAACTGTACCGGAACTCTGTGCGTTCGCGGCTGCGCCCCATGCCGTGGCCCGCGCGGCTGTTACACCTTTTCAAGGTTCAATTATGCCACCCATCCCGGAAACTGCCAAGGATTGGAGGTTGCAAAAAAATAACAAATCAGAATGATCGCCGTTTAAAAAGAATCAAGTGTATCTTGACACTTTCTCATGTGTCTCTGTCAATTTCAAGTTGTTGATTTTTGGAGTCTATAGATTTGGAAGTGATGCCAGCCAAGGCACTTGGGGTGGGTGAAGGCCTAGTGTTGCACCTGGATATGCTCGCATTGTGATGCCAAGAATGTTTGAAGTAATGATGGAAAGGGTTGGTCTATGACAGAGAAAGTGGGAATATTCCAGGGGAACTAAGGATTTTCTTACTTACTGTTTGCGTGGTCTTTCTTCAAGGAATTGGGTTTCTTGCATTGGTTCAATGAAGCTCATGAAAATTGAGTGGCTCAGAAATGCGAGTTGATTCGAGAACTGTAGAATAAAGTTGAAAACAGCAGGCGGAGGTTCTGGAACTTGAGTAGTGATGCGGGAAAGCTCATGTACGTGTGATTTGAACAAGTGACTATATATATATATATACACATACTGTATATGATTGTATATATGATTGTATGTATATATATATATGTATAAGTATACACATACAGATACAGTATACACGTGGGTTGCCAATGATTTCATTCTAAGCAGCCCTGCGGGGGTATTCACCCTCGCCAGGTTCAATCTGAGCTTGAAGGATTGGTCTCCAACTGACCCTTTATAACTCGGGTGGAAGGCAACAAGGCAAACCGGAAAAGCCGTGATTTTGGGAGTGAACACCTTTGTTTTCGGCTTTTCGGTTTCAGTTTTCCCTGGAACTAATCCATTGATGAACCGCATCCTGCTTCAAAAATCTTCCCACCATCACGGTGCCTTCCTCGTGTGCTGCGGCTCAAGCCCCGCCAAAATACCAACGGTTCTTCGGTTTGAACCTTGAGCCCTTTATTCTTCAAGATGCCAGTGGGTGGCTTGATTGAAATTGATGCCATCTCAAGACTGTCTGGTTAGCACTGCCCCAAGGGTGGAAATCGCTTTCAAATCTTACAGAACCTTTGGCCGATGAGTCAGCGAGCAGTTTTGCTGAGTTTCTGGAAATACCTGCCAACATGAGCCAATCACCACAGAAGCCTGCTTTTGGAGATGGGACAAGTCCTTTTAGGTCTTGGGCTTTGAGAAATCCGGTCTGTACCCTCTGGCAAAGCAACATAGCCATTGAACATCACCATTTTGATTTTGATCGGTAAATCAACGAACTAAATGGGCCATCTATACCATAGCTATATTAAATCACAGGAGGCTATCGGTATCCAGGCTTTGTTCGGGATTCCTTCAGGTTCTTCCTCCGAAGGACCAAGCAGTTGGCGTGCACAAAAACTGGGTTGATCTGAAAATATCCCCAATTCATCGCCATTTGAAGAGGGAAACGAGGTTTTACTGCATTGAAATGGGGGGTACCCTAGTTTCAGACACACCGCAGTTAAAGGTGTTACCCTTGCCCCCAAACAATCACACATCATTGGTTGGTTCAAGGATTTTGGTGATATCCACTGATATATCTGACGTCCGCATGGGTAATTCCCCCATTTTTTCATGGGAATTCTCACTGTACCCTCTGGTAATTTAACCATGTTCCATGGAAAATCAGTATTTTTAATGGGTAAATCCACTATAAATCACCATTTTCCATAGCTATGTTAGTCAGAGGGTACCTTCCATCCGAGGTATGGGAATCAATGGCTTCGGCCGCATCGGCCGCTTGGTCTTCCGTGCTGCCTCCGGAAACCCAGATGCCGAGGCTCGTTGAGTTACCCTCTGGTAATGTAACAGTTTGGTGTTGTACGGATGGTTCATTTAGTTCGATGGTTGACCTAAAATTAGAGAGTGATGTTCCGTAGCGAACTGTTCAGTTACCAGAGGCGAGTGAAGGATAATCAGTAAATAGCGGTTGTGACCAAGAAATATGGAATTTTAAATTAAGCAAGTGGTGGATTTACTACAAGAATTCGACTGATTTGATCAGCCAAAAGGGGGGATTAAACCAACGAACATGGAAGTGACGACAAAATCATGGGGCTATGAAGCAAAAAAAAAAAGGCATGTCTAAAGCGTGCATGTAGCTAGCAAACCATGAGTTCGTACTGTATATAGGTATAAGGGTGACAATAGATGCTGATGTTGCAATAATCGAGGGATTTCGATCAATAGACACAAGGGGCTCTGCAAAAATGGTGCAATTTACCAACAAAATGGGAGACTTTGGATCTCACCTGAAGATCCACCGAGTCATCCAAGTGACTCGGTGGTTTTTTGCGATTTCACCGCAATGCTGATGCTTTGGGATACATCCGGGGTTAAGATCTTGGCTCCCATTGGATGATAAACCATGTTAAACCCCCATGCGCCCCATGGTTCATCCATGATATTCCCATAACGGCCCCAAAATCAGATGACCTGGAAAAAAACCCACGGCAGGTGAAGGCCATCAACGATCCCTTTATGGAACCTCGGTTCCAAGCCTTCGCTGGAAGCATCCAGCATCAGTGGCAGGGGAAGAAACCAGGGGATGTTTTTTTTTGGTTCTTCCCTGATGTTTTCTGATCGAATCCTGAATCTCAATAGTACTATAGTATATAGATGTATATTGCAACGTACTACCGAAAAGCTACCAATGAGAATCACTGGCCTCGCCCTCGGGCACAGTGTCTGATATCCACATGGATATAGATCACACCTATTTTGCCCAGACATGGATGTTTTGTGTTGCTCAAGGTGACCAGCCAGCCAGTGAACATATGGCAATCAGTACTTGGATGTGTATCCCAGTTCGAAAGTGGGTAATAGCCATATTATACCCCAGCAGTTTAGATGGGTTATACAGAACCCCCCCACAAAGATAGAAAAGGCAAGTTAAAATCCTACTGAAATAGTGATGAGTTACTTTTCTATCTTATTGGGGTTACCACATATTTGCCATACATGTATACACAATTATACACATATCAGTGTGTATTTTGGGCCAACAAACACCATGCCTGGGACCCTGGGACCCTGGGACCCGGCGTCGAGGATTTGGAATACATGGTCTACCAGCTGAAGTACGACAGTGTTCACAAGACCTTTGGAGGTGACCGTCTGACCAAAAGGTGATGGAAAGATCTGGATTTCCCATGGATGTCTCTGGGAAAATGAGATGGAAATGGTAGGAAAAAACCTTTGGGGGCTGTGATACGTCCCATATAAGGGTATACCCAAGTTCATAAACCTCTGTTGGGGATGGTTTATGATTGGGTTTACCACTTCAAACTTCAGACATCGCTGGTGTTGGAATCCTTTTCCCACTGCTACCAGGGGACGCCGATTTTTTCATCTGGGGACGGGCTTGTTAATCCTGTCCACATTTTTGTAAAGCTTACCTCAAAATTGTTTTTGTATAGGTACATATATATATATACACATACATACATACATACATACATACATACATACATACATACATACATACATACATACATACATACATACATACATACATACATACATACATACATACATACACACATACCACACATACATACACACATACCACACATACATACACACATACCACACATACCACACATACCACACATACCACACATACCACACATACCACACATACCACACATACCACACATACCACACATACCACACATACCACACATACCACACATACAACACATACCACACATACCACACATACACACACACATACACACATATACCACACATACCACACATACCACACATACACATACCACACATACCACACATACCACACATACCACACATACCACACATACCACACATACCACACATATAGATGTGCAGTATGGTTGGTGCCAAACCCATGTCTTCCCCCTTTCCCCGGCAAAAGCATCCTCCCTCCTTGCGCATTAAAGGCACCATTGCGGCAAAGAAGGATGGCGGCAAGGAGTTTCTGGCGCCTCTGATGAAAATGGTGATCCTAATGGGATATAGTGGGGATATTCTATGGGATATATATATATATATGTATGTATAACAAATTTGATATGACATTTGAAAATGTCTGAAAAACTGGGGCGTGATTCCACGGTCATTTTCGGAGGGAAGGTGTGATTCCCACGTGGGTTTCTCAGCAAAGGTATGCCATGTGTTTGACTGGGTGACCAGAAGGCCCTTCAAAAAGTGGTTCCAGATTGTAAAGGAGCCACACAGAATGCGGCTATTAACCAACGGAATGGGATGGCACATAAAAAACGGAAGAAACCATCTACCAAAATGGTTCCTAGGACCGCGGAATGATGGATTTGGAGTATTTTGGATGATTTTTTGGGTTCCCTGTTTGGCAGTTCCCATTTTTTTTGTGAACCATCCAGGGACACCGATGAAAGAAGCAACAACATTTTGCATCTTGGGTGAAACTTGAAGTCCCAGACTGTGAATACTAAGGAAAGATGAGGCATGCCCAATCCCCCATGCACGTTTTGCCATCAGCATAGCATCAGCTGAAAGCGGTTCCCCCCCTTTCAGGTGGTCAACGGCAAGGAAATCGCCGTGTTCCATGAGAAGGTGCTGTGATGAAAAAGATGTGTTTTCTTGGGTGATCTACCCTCTGGTAAACTAACAAAAAGCTATTGAAAATGGCCATTTATAGTGAGTTTTCCCATTAAAAAACATGGTGATTTTCCATAACTATGTTAGTTTACCAGAGGGTAACTGGTTGAATGTTCATTCTTCAAGGAAGTTCCAAAAAAGTATCCCAACTAGATAGGGTACGCAAAAAAGAGTATTTGGATTCTCCCAAAAATGGTTCTATAATTTCTGGGAATATTTGGAGTAACAGTTTAAGGATATATTTTGACTGCAGTATATGGAAGACGGTCGATTATTTGGCAGGATTGAGCTACCATATCAGAATTCAGCCCAATGAACTGCTTTGTTCCCAACGGAAAAGAACCCACCCAAAGTTGAATGCTTCCCACTGCTTTATGATTGGAAGTAGGGATCATTAGTCAATGGATTACTTTATTTTCTCCTGTGATGCTTCCTGACTGCGAGACAATTTGACTGTTTCACCCACTTGCACCAAACATGTGAGCTGGCTTATGACACTGATTGCAGTATCCAACTTCAAACTGATCTGGGATTTGACTTCCTACTATCTGGCTATTTAACATAGCCATGGAAAATCACCATTTCTAATAGGTAAACCATCTATAAATGGGCCATTTTCCATGGCTATGTTAAATAACCAGAGGGTATTTTTTTTTGACAAAAGGCTATCTAAACCAATCGCTGGTTCCCCAACTTCGATTCACATCCATCACATTCTCGCTGGTTGAAAACTGGGCAAAAAAATCCCCGGTTTTCCTGGTCCTCATTTCTAGAACAGCCCTAAAGTGGTTGGGTTTTTTCCATCATTTTTTTGCCGGATAAATCCACATGTCCTGCTGGTTCAATCCAATTTTTTGGTTGTTACATCGCCATTTCTGATCTGTTGATTAAATAAGAATGCCTGGTTAATGTTGGTGTTAAATTCAACATTGTTGGTGTTGAATCCAACTTTTTGCTGGTTAAATTACATTTTTGTGGGTTAAATCAAATCTAGATTTTGCTGCTTATATAAATCCCACTTTCTGGTGATTTACATCCATATTTTCACTGTTTGTTTCCCCAACTTTTGGGTTCTGACCCCGCCAAAATCGCCGCCACCTGTTGATCAGGACCCAGCTGCAATCAAATGGGGCGAGAGCGGTGCAGAGTATGTCTGCGAGTCTACAGGTGCACACGTTGGTGAAGAACTCACGAAAATCATTGGTATATATATACATATACATATATACATATATACATATACATATATATATATATGGAGGTTTCCATAAAGGGGGGGTACCCCAAAATGGATGGTTTATAATGGAAAATCCATCTATAAATGGATGATGACTGGGGGTACCCCAATTTTAGGAAAACCCAAATCCATGGGATGAAAAATCATTCTCCCATTATGAAATAGCCATGTAGGTATACCTCCATTTTCAGACCCGCTGGGATTTCATGGGTTTGAAGTTTCACCATTTTATTGGGGCAACATCCCCAGAGTTTATGAAAATATTTGACATTGGGGATGTGGTAAAACCAATGCCATAAATCATCCCCCAAATCACCACTTTTCTGGGTGGTAACTAGAAACTAGTACTATCCCCGAAATGGGCGGTTTATGGCATCCCCACATACATTAACATCAACCAGGCATTTCCTCCCCACTGAGACCATGGCTATGTTTGATGTTGAGGGTCATATAACATCAATATCTCTCCGAAAATGACCAAACGCCATCGGTTCACTCAATCGCTAATAGCTGCTATGCCATATGGTTATACCCAAGTTGAGAATCCATTGTGATTGGTGAATTCCCGTGGTGTTTCTTTAAGTAGTGTGAAATCCACATTTGGGTCAAATCACTATTTTGTGGATTAAGTGCGACATGTCGTGGTTAAAGTCACCATTTTTGACAGATCCTTTTTTGGTTCAGTCCACATTTCTTTTGTTGGTTCAACCGCATCAATTTTGGCGACGCCCGGAGATTTTTTTCTCCGTGAAATCCTAGATTCTTCGTTAAGCATTGTTGGGTAAAATGATATCTCCATTGCTTGGTAGCATGCTTATTCTTCATGGCTGCTTAAACCCCAGCTTTGGGTGAAATATGTTCATTTTTTGGTTTCTTAGATCCTTATGTTTGCTGCTTCCTCAAAGTTAGCAGGTCTTGGCCCAAGTTCTGGTGCTGAATTTCCTAAGTTTCTCTGGTAAACCTCATTTTTGAAATCCCATTTTGTCAGATATCCTCATGAAATCCCATTAAAACCCCAGCTTACATCCACTAGATTTCCTTAGAAGGGTGTATATAAAGGTATATAAAGGTATATAAAGGTATATAAAGGTATATAAAGGTATATAAAGGTATATAAAGGTATATAAAGGTATATAAAGGTATATAAAGGTATATAAAGGTATATAAAGGTGTATATATATATATACACATTATAACATTTATAGAGTAGTTGACAGCTGATGATTTCCCATTAACAAAAACCCATAGGAACATAAGATGATCCTCGCTTCCACGGCCGAAAACGCCCCAGCCATGTGGCGAGGAATCTTCACCACTCAAGAGAAGGTGAAGGGGCTGTGGGAAGATCAACCGGGAGACTGGGGAAGAATCCACAATCTATGGGGATAGAACGAGGATATATTATATAGAAATATTAACATATGTATGATATATTATTATTATTATTAGAATTATATATATATATATATCTATAATATAGAAAATATACATAATCACATGGGTATATAGACCACTAGTATAGGTCACCGCCGCCACAGTATGCCGATGTCAGTGTGCCATCAGGATGGCCAGCAAATCTGTTGGGTTTCAATCGCCGGGGACAGTCCTGGAACCTTGCTGGAACCTTTCGCTGTTGCAAAGCTGGGCTAATCTAGATGAAGTGAAGGAAACAAGTATTATATCATACCCTCTGGTAAATTAACATAGACCCTGAAAATCACCAATTTTTAATGGAAACTAGTCTTCCAACCCCTATCTACCAGGGTCTATGTTAATTTACTGGAGGGTATACGTAAAAACATTTAAAACATATTACTATTGATTGCAACCGTTGGGTGCAGGATGTCGCCGGAACCAATGGGGAACGATACAAATACAGCCATATTTATTGGTGATATTCCCAGCACGAGCTGATATTGCAATGTTTTTGTTTATGGTATCGACCACGTAAAAACAGCTTATGCCCCCCCGTTTTTTGATGCAGAGTCGCGGACCTGGAGGCAGGCGAAAATGTGCCAGTAATTTTCGAACATGTGATGCCAGTTTCTCATCCTTTCCACGATTTATCCCCAATTCATGGCCATTTTAAGAGGGAAACGAGGTTTTTCCATGCATTGAAATTGGGGGTACCCTAGTTTCAGACACACCGAATTTTTCAGGTTACCCTTGTTTTGGCCATCAATTGGGATACTATCCCCATGGTACCAGGCTGCCCTGCACATCGGCGGAGGGGCCAAAAAGGTGATCATCAGCGCACCTCCCAAGGACTGAGGATTTTTCGGACGCTTTTTTGGGTAGGGAAAATTCTAGGAAATCAGCATTTCACCATCTTTTTTTCCCATGAGAAAATGGTGATTCAACCAGCCTGGCAGAGACTTTTTTTTGTAGGAAAACCACCATTTTTGATGAAACGATTGTGATTTCACCATCAAAAACAGTGGATTTAAGTCATGATTTTTGAATGGACAACTCATCTATATGTGGGGATTTGTTCTGCGGAAAATGCTGGATAAATTATATGTAGTTGAGCATCATGAACATAATTTTTTGGTTATAGGTGCTTTTTCACCATGAAACATGAGGAGATGTAATTATATAATAAATGATGGTTGACTAGCTGATTCATGGGCTTTTAATCAAATGTGGTGATATCAGTTCATCCAGAAGTTCTCAAACCTCAGTTCAATGGGTTTTGAATAAGATTTAACAATCATCATTGATTTTAGGGGTTTTGACCATCAAAGATATTGTGATATAACTGCTAATTGATTCTGCATGGTTGATTTTTGACAGGGCTATTTTTACCTACCCTGTATCTATATCGATATATGGGGGTTTCTTAAAATGGGAGATCCCCAAATCCACAGGTGTCAATACTAAATGGTCTAATGACTTGGATGATTTGGGGATACCCCCATGGGAAACCTTCATATGTATCATAAAAACCAAGCATTCGGGGAATCCAAAAGGCTGACAAGGTTCTCTGACGCACTTCGCAGTTTCAGGTGAACAGTATATTAATGAAAACTCAGTCATGTATGGTTAATACTCCAGCAATAAAAACTCGTACGTAATGTATATATATATATATATTGATATATATATAGTGATATATATATATATATGTATAGAGTGATACATATTTATATGTTTCTATGTACGTATATATACATATATATATAAGTATTGTTTCTTACCCACTTTCCAGCTCTCATGAAGCCCTTCAGATGCCTTCCGAGCTCATGAGATTTATTCTTTTGACTTTTTGAGCTTTTCGACTTTTCGCCTCAACAAATAAACAGTTTTTGACTTTTCGACTTTTTTTTTCTGCTTTTCGAGTTAAACCCGTCAGCAAGGTCTTAACTTTGCGAACTTTTCGACTGTCAAAAAGTCAAAGTGTTCGACTTGTTGACTTTCCTTTTTTCACCTGTCGTTCAACTGTTCAATTTTTTTCTCACTGGTGCAATAGATACGAAAAGTAATAACTTATTAACCAAGAGATAGTCTAAATAGATATAGACTGGCTGGACTGAATAGATTGAATAGGTTCGCTGGAAACAGAGACAGCTATACTTGAGTATCCAGTTTGGTGTCTATCAATGCATCTGCGCGAGTCGATGAACAGGTACTCTTATAGGTCTCTTGCTAGGCATTTTCGCGACCCGCAGACCCGGACCTCACTTGCCTTATGGTTGAGGACAGATGATAAGACATGATCTTTTAAGCTCGCTTAAAGCTCGCTGCGAACCTCGCCCAAAACTAGGCAAGGAAAAAAATCCAAGCAAAGCTCCATATGATAGGTCTCTTCAAATGAACCTGCCCTAGCCAACAATGGCCAGCATGCAGCCGGCAGAACTTGATTCCTGAGTTGTTCATGTATTGTTTGGGTGGTCTAGGCGCCACGTTTGCCACGGACGCCGTGGAATTGATTAAGGCGGGTTTTCCGGAACCATACAAAAAGGATGAGTGCAAACAAGAATGGCACACAAGTTTCTTGCATAGAGAATTTTGAACACTGGTTAGATCTTGATCTCTCACTTGTAAAAAATATCCATCAGCAGCAACTTCGAATGGATCCTTTTTACAATAATTGCTTTGGCTTGTTCGGGCCACCACAGGCAGCAGCTGGCATTGCTGGGGAAGTCTGCAGCCCTGCGAGTCAACGCATATGTCGCCGCTGTTCTTTTTGGCAGCCTTGTCATCCCGCGGGTGAAATATGAAGACGTGGCAGGTCTTGCATGGATTCGAGGTCATCCATTGCTTTCGAAGATACATGGGTATTGCTTGACATAGCAGCACAGCATGTTCGTTGTCAGCATGTGCCTTCTGCATGGACCCGCAGCTTGTGGTGGACTTGGGTGCCCCAAAGCACTTCTGATTATACAAGCTCCTTGTCCAAGTACATCGGAGGGCCTTGTGCACCGAGGCAAGCCCTATATTGGGATCAAATGAGTTGAACTCCAAGGGCCCGTCCACTGACGGGTCTTGGAGCTTTTGCAGAGAGTAACAAGTGTGGGAATTTTGAAAGCAGCTCGAAAACTTATGTTGTCCCGCCTTACATCCCAGTGGCACAGATCGGGAAGACCACCTTCTTCGCACCACTGCTGTGGTGGTTTGATCGTACTCTCGGCCGCTTCCAACTGGATGATGAGGATATGTCTGCCGGCATCATTCCGGTCATGCAAGAAGTGGCCCGTCCGTTCCAACTGCAATGCTGCGTCGAGTACCCGAAGCTGGAGTATGAAGAGCTCGGCCGACAGGTGTATCCTGCGGGATGCGGCGTCTGGAGCCAGAGCGGCTAAGGCATATTTGAGCATCGGTACAGAGTTCTAAAGGGACGATTCCCTGAGCTTCCTGTTTTCGATCAGATAGGTCGAAGCCTTCAGCAGCTCCATGATGAGATGAAGAACATCCACGTGGCCGTCAGCGTTCAGACAGGCTCGGAACGTTACTTGGATGAGGTTCGAAACAGGTTATATGCGGAAATTGTTTCGTGCCTTGGAATGATGGACCTGTTTCGAACCGATACATATCACTTGTTACGCAGAAACAAACGGAAAAAAAACTTGGTGACATGCTGCGTGTTCAGTCCCGCATGGTAACGGTATACAAACCAAACCGCGATAGCGACAAAAACCTTTCGGGGAAGGAAGGCACTTCCCTTTATTCCTCGTGATCATTGCTCACATGAAAAGAACATAGAAAAAAAGAACATGTGAGCGGGTTAATGCCTGCTTGACATCTTGTTGCAGGTCGAGTGGACGTGGTGCGCTATCTCCAAGAGAATTGCGCCAACTTGACTGTTCGTCCATATGCGCAGCGGGAATCCCAGCCGTCCACCTCAAAAGACCTGAGGGAGAGCTGGTGATGTGCCAATAAGTCAGAAAAAAATGCTTTGGGTGGAGAAGCCGCTTTGAGAATCTCTTCGCAGCCATAGAATCTCTTCACAGCCATCACCAGGTCGAAGTCGAAGTGTTCATGTTTTGCCTGCCAGTTCTGTCTTCATCAAGATGCTTCACCTTAGCATTTACCCACCATTTTATCTGAGCATTTCTCAAGTTTCTCACTTCAGAGTGTGGCTCCCGAGCTCCGACGTAGCCAGGGCTTGTGCAATTAGACCTTCAAAACCACCGAGCATCGGTGTCATCGAAGGTGAGAACAGGAAACGCCCGCACAAAACGGAGGTTGTCGTGGAAAAACATCTAAAAACACTATAAATGATCTATTAGTGAAACTTGGATCTTTATCAGTAATCGTAACCATGGCGATTTAATTGCTCAGAGAGAAATATGCCCTTGAGTTCTTTAATTAACATAGACATTGATAGATGAATGGTGGCACATGATGGGTAAGTAGTCAATGACCGTAGCACATGGATGCACATGGTAGACCCAGCCATGGCTGATGGTAGTTTGCTAGCCTTTAACTTGGAAGGTCGGCAAGCAGGTAGGTCAACTAATCAAGTTATTGCATCAAATTGCCCAGCCCACTGCCCGACACAAGTGGTTAATTACTATATACACTATAGATGGGGAATGTGCAAGCCAGCCATTTGTGGGATTCTGGTATCCACCTTTTCAAAACCCACAAAAACCCAGCCAATGGGAGGAATTCACAAACATTGTGTGCGCAATATGATCCTATCGAGGTAATTGCAGGGTTGCGTTGTGCTCCCCTAGAAAGGCAACAAGAACCCACTAAGGAACAGCAACAAAACACCAATAAACAACACCTGTGTGCATGCTGCCTGTGCTCCAACGCCTTGAAAACATCAAATGACTGTTACTTTTCCAATGAAATCTTTGGCAAAAGTCAAAAGTCGAAACGGTTTCCGCTTTTCGATTTTTTCGATTTTTCAACTTTTCGATGTTTTCGACCTCTCGTTTTTTTTTTTAATTTGTCGAGATTTTCGACTTTTCGAGCAAAAATCCATTGGACTGCAAGCTTTGCGTTTTTTTTCTCGAGTTTTCGACTTTTCGCGGCCGAAAGGTATGCTTTTCACGGTGTGACTGTTACCAGCCAGAAGGGCACACAGAGATTGAGCGGGCTATGCTCCAAGGGGATAAAAATTACTGTGACCGCACTGGAAGGATGGTTGGGATTGAGGGAATCATCCCCAAATTACCGCAAGTTTCAGGTCAGCGAAATATATTGTAATACCCAGATACGACTTGTCACCCCATTTTCCAGTATTTGGGTCTGATTTTCACATAGAGGATTCTTTTCCGAATGAACAAGTCAAATCTGAGAATTTCCCCAAGTGTGCCAGTTTTTTTTTTGTATATCGCTTTGTGACCTGGTGTTCCTGCACACACACCTACAGATGTGCACCTAATAAAATCGATCTACATATTCACAGTTTTGTACCTATATATCAATATTTACACTTATTTATGTATGTATATTACTTAGATGATATGTTATATACATGCGTAGAAGTATACATAGATACACGCGACTGTCTACATGAGATAGGTACAGATACAGGTGAAAATGCACCGGTATCCATATCCATCACCTGCCCAGCATGTCATATTATCGGCTTTCCAATCAAAAAGACACATTCTATTAGGGATGATTGAAAGATATTCCAGTTGGGCATGATTGAAATCGCACCCATTTATGATAAATCGTTGGAGATGGTGGTTTAATGGCTTTGGGTTTAGCACAGTGACCCGTACTGACTGAATACAGAGTATGCTTGTGAACCAGTTACCGGGGTAAACATGGAAGCACAAAGCCGTCCAACTTTGGAGGGCACCCAAATGTGTCCCAAACAATAGGTTCTGTACCGGGGGTCATGCGGCTTCAATCCACTGGAGTTTGGGTACCCTATTTTCAGGCAAACCTATAGAAGCATGAAAACCGCCGGCTGAAGAGCTGCAATACAACGCGCTGTGAACGGGACTTGCAATATGTTCATGTTGGGTTTCCGCAAACTCTGCTATGGATGCTTGACTACCAAAATCAATGAAAACTAGGCACTAGGCCGGCCAGCTGGGCTTGGGGTATTGCCATGCCATCCGACCTGCCATTCCTTTGCAACCCTGGGGCGAGCGAAGGATGCTGTGCCAATGTACGTCATGGGCGTGAACCACGAGAACTACAAGAGCACCGACACAGTGGTTGGACCCTCAGAAGACTACTGATGTGAACCCCCTAACTGCTTAAAAACGTGGGAATTTTGGGATGGTTTGTGGGGGGCCTTGTGGCCGTAAGCTTGCTGATAACCGTCATACCGATGTTCACGTTTCACGAATAAATGCAACATGAATCTCCTGTCCCATGTTTCCTTTATCCTGATCCTCAATGTTTTTGAAGCAAAGGTTGCTGCAACTGATTTTGGATTTTGGGAGAATTGTCAAACAACAATCCCCGTATTTATCAAAGATAATCACCAAATTTTCTTGGAGTTAATCAAGTATCAATAAGTATCTCAATGATTTTCCAGTAGGATCTTGGCAGATGGGGTGTATCCAACAAAATTTTCCCATTTCATTCCATTGGCTACATAAAAATGACAATCTTTATTGGCGTGCCCCAGGTTTCAATAGGTCGTGGTGCTCAGAGGATCGAACTTTTGGGATTGGATCTGGAACCATAAATCGCACCTGCACCGGTTGAATGGTGGGATTTCTCGCTTTGATCGCTGAACTTATGATTTTTTGAGTAAGTCCCAGATTATTTTGTGATTCTTACTTATCTTTGTGTTTGATGGTTAAATCAACATCGCTATGTTGGATGGTAAAATCCTGATTTTGGATGATTACAAAACTGATGCTTATATCCAAAATAAGTATATATATATATTCACATCACTCTCAAGATATGTTGAGAGTATGGTTTTACCTTTCAACTAGTTTTAGCCATCCTGAATCAATATATGTTGGATGTTTGATTGCTATGTATATATATATATACATATATTGCTATCTTGATGGTTCAATCCGTAGATGGTTCAATCCGGGTTGGATGGATCCTTGGATAGTTGGATAGCTCAATTCTTTTTTGTGGATGGTAAAAAATCCCTATGTTTCATGGCAAACTTCATATATTTGATGGTAAAATCAGAAGTTTTTGATTGTCGAATCTCTACTTATCCCATTTTTTTTGGTAGTTAGACGATCATTTTTGCTTAGTAACTCCCCATTCTTCTAGGCCTTTTCTGGAGGGTCCTTGAACAAAAGCCACGTCGGACGTCTGAACGGACCGTTTGCGAGGTCTCCAACGCTTCTTGCACCACCAATTGCTTGGCGCCATTGACCAAGGCCGGAGCTGATGTGGCTGCTGGAAGTATATCTGGATGAAATAATGGTTAATAAATGTGAATAATGGGTATGAATGGTTAATTAACAATGGTTGTTACTGTTTTTTGAGATATCGTATATGATAGCTATATTATCTGGATGAATTTGATCACGTGAATCATGACCTCAATGTGACATCACTGGAATGCTGATTTCTAAGGGAATCATGCCCTTTTATGGCCTTGTTTTAGTCATTTTATGGGACTAAAATTTTATTATTTAGCTAAACAATATGCAGGATGGTATTTGTCTAAGTTACGTCACATCAAGCTTTACTGTAGATCAATGGATATGCATAATTAGTCATATAATTATTGGAACGTATCACCATAGTTGGACAATACTGATTGGATAATGTGGAGGATTTTGACATCATCATCCATTGATCCAATAGTAATACTGCCAACTGGAAGTCATGGTTAATGTCATCAATAGGATCAAAACATGGGGATTTCCACTTATTGGTTACCCTCTGGTTATGTCAAAATAGCTATTGAAAATGGCCATTTTTAGTGGATTTTCCCATTAAAAATGGTGATTTTCCATAGTTATGTTAGTTTACCAGAGGGTATCCCCAACTTTTTGTGAATAATAATCTATAATATGGGGATTGATATTATCAAAAACCATTGGGGATACCAATAGTTGGAAATCAGCTCATATCAATCAGCATGGTCAATGATAATCCTGTTAGACCATCCCTTAAATAGGCACTTAATATGACTTCATCAGCAAAAAACAATCTTGATTATTATATAGTTATATGTATATATATATAATCATAATCATATAATATAGCAAAAAATACTCTTGATTCATCAAGCATCAACGGATTGGTTTAAGGGACAAGTTACCAGGAGAACTGGTGGATTTTTAGCACCGACTAGATTTTAGCTCGACCAATGGGAAAACGTCGGAAGATCTTGGGCCCCGAAAAGGTAATTTTTGTGTGGTAACTTTGAGTGAAATTCGGGAATGGTCTTGATGTTGGGTGGCCAAAAGATCCAAAGTTCTCACGCTCGAATTTGTTTGATTCTCTTGATTTGGGTGGTCGCCGACGATCAGTTTTGGTCACTCAGAAATGGGAAGCCTTCCATATTTTTCCATAGGGATACACACGTTCCAATCAAAATGCAGAGACAGACCGGACTTAGAAATACTGAACTTGGGATAACCAACAAAACAGAAGATATTTCACCCAAGATAGGTAACCACCATGGGGCCAATATCAGTGACCATTCTTTCAAAACAAATAAAGGAACATGTTTGGCATCGTCTAAGTCCCCTAGTTACAAACGCTGGGGGGTTGGTGGTTACAGTTGCAATGGAGGATGTGGTAAGAAGGGTCAGAACTTTGACCCTTGCGCCTTGCACACGATTTGGTCACCCACAAATTCTTGTGATTTCAAGAAATTGAGCCATTGAGTTTGCTTTCTGATTTACCCAAATTAGACCTATATAACGCGCATGACATCTTAGCTTCGCATTGTGTGAACTTTCTACTTCTCTTACATCCCCGGTGCCCTGGATGACCGATATATTTTTTGGACGGCTGGCTCTACCAGCGTTATTGCTGAAATCCGTGGTGAATTGACCAGTCTGTCCATGGTGGCACGGCTCAGCCGGGCTCGATCACAAGCAGTTCCGAACGATGTTTTTGCTGATCAAAGGGCCTGGACATCCATATATATTAACCATATAATAACCATATATATATATATTATCCATATATATATATTATCCATATATATATATATAAACCATAGGTCAACACTGGTGGTATGGATTGAAACCATAGCCATAGACGGCACAATGGTTTGATTGAACCTATTGCCGGCACATGTTCATCCAGTGACAGCGATGAGCCTTGGGGGTTTAAGCCACAATTATCCTTGGTCACAATGCTTCAGTGACCAATCTAAGTCGCTAAATCCCGATTTTGCTTGGTCCAATTCCACTGCTGGTGTTTCCATATCCAACCGCTCTAGTTGGTTAACAGCCCATTTCTGGCTTAAGTCCCAATCTGGTTGGTGGCTTGGAACATTTTTATTTTTCTATATATTGGGAATAATCATCCCAACTGACTTTCATATTTTTTACAGGGGTGGCTCAACCACCAACCAGATTATTATTATCATTAACCATATAATAACCATATATATATATATATATTAACCATATATTACCAATATATATTAACCATATATATATATATATTAACCATAGATATTAACCATATATTAACAGTATATTACCAACCAATGGGATGGGGTTCACGTCGTGGAGGTGGTGCATGAAAACTTCGGCATCGTTGAGGGCCTGATGACCACCGTCCACGTCTCTCTGACCGAAGATGGGTTTTTTCGAAACACGCCGTGTTTGGTCACAGAATTTGGTATGCAAACAGGTACTAACATGAGTGATTAACACACAATTTGGGTGCGGGAAGACATAATGAACCCACAAAGAGGTACTTTAACAGACAATTTGGGTGTTTGAATTTACCAACATGCGAATTTCACCGATAGAATCCAGCCTCTTATTCAGCAACTTGGGTGATATACGCTGCAAACACGGGAGGAAAATGCCTCTTGCAAGACTTTCAGACACTGGTTGGCGCTGAAAAGCAAGACCCCATGGGAACTGGAAGATCACTGGATATATGGTTAATATATATATATGGTTAATATATATATATGGTTAATATATATATATGGTTAATATATATGGTTAATATATATGGTTAATATATATGGTTAATATATATATGGTTAATGATAATAATGATAATAATAATTGCTGGTTGGCCCCTGAAAGTCGACCCATGAAAAACCCAGCTTGGGTTGTGATCCATGATCACCCAGGTGTATCATTTGAAGATCCCAAGCTATGTGAATCGGGTTAGAGCAACTTCCAGCTAAAACCCAGGTGAACTCGTCACCGAAATCTGCAAGCACTTGAAAAAGATGGGTTTGTCACCGCACCAAAAGTACGGACCAGTTACTTCTGAACCAAACAGGACTCACCAGTGAGGTTTCATGCAAGAACGAGTCCATTTTTACATATCAAAAAGACATCTTTCCTGTGTATTTTCCACAGCGCGCGCATCCTTGGGATTACGGGTTCCAGTCCAATTCTTTCAGTCCATATCCTTTTCAATATATATAGTATATTACCTATTACTTCTTACAGTATGTACTGTATGTGTGTCTATAAAGAACTCATATTTAGATACGTAGACATGACACACACACACACACTTCTAATATATATATATATGTATATTTATTACAGTATAATCTGTATACATAGTACATTTATTACATATATACATTTATCACACATATTACTTATAGTACATATTACAGTATATTTACATATACATATTACATACTTATAGCATATATTATTTTTTTTACATATTGCAGTACTTATAGTACATATTACAGTATATTTACTACAATAGAGTATATTTACATACACATATTACATACTTATATAGTATATATTACTTTATTACATATTACAGTGCTTGTAGTACATATTACAGTATATTTATTACAGTACAGTATATTTACATATACATATTACATACTTATAGTATATATTACTTTATTACATATTACAGTACTTGTAGTACATATTGCAGTATATTTACTTATATAGGACATATTACATATATATATACATACAAACATACATATATAGTACATATTACATATACTATATATTACTTTATTACATAAAAAAGGACTTATATATAGTACATATTTATTTACATATATATTTTTTACATACTATATATATATATATAATATGTATTACATACTATGACGTACCCAGGCCATGACCGCCACCCAGCTGACGGTGGATGGACCTTCGCGCGGTGGCAAGGACCGGACCGGCAATTTTTCGGTGCCCAGTTTGAGGTGCCGAAGCAAAGATCATCAGCGAAAATGGCGAGAAAATGGGGATTTTAACTAGATTTTTTTGGATTTCACCAGCAGAACTGGGTGTTTGAGTAAGAAAAGTTGGGATTGGAGCAGCAAGAATGGGGATTGTTTAGCAAGAAAACTTTGATTTTCAGAAATTTATTGATATCTAGTCAGATTGGGATGAACCATGATTTAAACAACACTAGAAACTGGCAACATGATTCTTGGGACAGGAAAGCACCATCTTTGGTAAAAGATGAAGAACTCATGATTTTCTGCGTTTTTTCTTCGAATCAATCCTTGAAACATGGGGATTTTTCACCCATTTTCGGTATCCATCCCAGCTAACATCAATCCTGAGCCCAGTTCTAAGGGTCATTCAGAATATTTTGAGATTTTCTATGGTTCTATTGGTAGGTAGGACCTAGGATGGAACATGATGACAATCCAATGGATGGATTGGGGCCACTATTTCCAGTTGATCCCTGTTGATCCTGTTGTTTGACGACGGGTTCCACAAGTTTTTCGGGGCACAACTGCTCTCCAGGTCACCCACCGTGTCACCGGGTGTCACCTTTTGTCACCAGGTCACGGCTGGTCATCGTCATCATCCATTTTTCCTATGAAACTGTAGCCTCTGGTAAACATTAACAAAAAACGATGGAATGGAAAGATCCACCATGCTATTCATGGGAAAATTCACTGTTTCAACATGGTGGATCTTTCCATAGATATGTAAATGTTTACCAGAGGGTAGCTGTTTTGCGAGCTATACCCCTCAAGACACAGATATCGCACATATATTCTGGTGATATATCCCATAGAATATCCCATCCAGATGATGAAGCATCATTTTTTGATCAAAGTCCCACTGCTCGCTGGATAAATCCCAGCCTTCTGCTGGTGATTTATCCACCATTTCCAAATCACCATTTTTGGGTGGATCAATCACCATTTTTCTTGGTACTGTAAAATCCGACAACTTCCAGACTTTTGCTGATTAAATTGCCATGTTTGTTGCTTCAAATCACCATACGACTTGGATTTCCCGGCACCTGCAGGACTGGCGCGGTGGACGTTGCGCCTCTCAGAACATCATCCCATCCTCCACCGGAGCTGCCAAGGCCATGCCATGGGTTTTTTTTTGGGTTTATTGTGACAGAAAGATGTCGAAAAACCAGGTACTTAAGGTTGGGAACATGATCTGCAAATGATTCATGGTGTGTTTTCTGCATTGAAACATCAACCATAGGGATTTCCCCAGGGATATTGGAGGATTAATTTTGAAGCAACGATGGGTGGCCAGAATGGCGAACGAAAAAATATGGGTAGCGAAAATGGGTAATTAATGGACAAGCAATGTGGTACTTGTATAATCTTGCGATACTACCACTAAGTGGTTAATTTTCATGTTTATTGCCAGTGGTTAATAATGTTAATATTATACCACTAGTGTTCCAATGTATGTGGTAATGTGGTAATTAATGGAGCCCTAGTCGTTATTTACTTGGTGATTGGGTAATCATTGCGGGCAGTCGCTGGGTAATGACTTGATTATCATTTAGTAATCGTTGGGGGTAGTGAATTGATATTCCCCTCTGGTTATTTAACATAGCCATGGAAAATGGCCCATTAATAGATGATTTTCTCATTAAAACCTCCATTTATGAGGGATTTTCCATGGCTATGTTAAATTTCCAGATGGTAATATGTCATAGTATATGATGATACATACATTAATCCCATCCCCATCATCTTCAACACCCCTCAAACGGGTCCTACTAAACGATGGTTTCTGGGGGCTGTTTCAGAGGATGGGCTGGCGATCCAATACCTGCTGCAGGGTATGAGTCGGTCAGTTTTCACATCGCGTGAAACGCCATGGCCAACAACATGACAATGTGGGTTGGTCAAACTTGGGATTGCGAAAAATGGCTCAGGGAAAACTGGAGAAATCCTCAGATGATTTCTTCCAGGATATTTGGTGAATCATTTTCCATCTGTAAACTGTCAGGGTGCCATTTGGGTCTGTCCAAAATAAGGCTTCGGTACCCCCAAATCCTGTATTTCACCAATCCAAGTTGTCATTTAAGGGCACCTTATGTGTGAAGAACGCCATTTGGTGATCGCTATGCATGTATCATAAAACTGTTCAAAGACATGATAGCCTCTGGTTTTACAGATCGCTATGGAAAAATCATCATTTATACTAGGTATATAAAGTGTGACTGTAATCTACTGGAGGGTATTCCCATGACTATCCCCTATGTTATCCCTATTAAATCCCCATTGTTGATGGTGAAATCCCAAGTGATGTTGGTTAAACAGCAATTTACGCTGGTGAAATCAGTTTTTTATTCCAAGTATTGTGGCTCAACTCCCAGTTTTCGGTAACTTTTTTTCCCACTCCAATCATCGAAAGTTGGTGAATGTTACTGGAAAGTCCCAGCTCCTGGCTGGTTGCAGGCGGTGGGCAAGGTGATCCCTGACATGAACGGAAAGCTGACCGGGTGCCTGCCGGGGATTCGGTCCAACGAAACATGGGATATCCCCCTGGAATGATATGCTTATTCCCCATAGTTAGAGGGTAATCAACTATAATAGTTAATATATATATATATATAATTCATTAATATATATATATATTATATGTGGATAATATGAATCACTGTTGGAACATCATTGGAATGACATAGTTAATATATGATGCAACATTGGATCAACTAATGTATCTGGTTGGTGGTTTGGAACATGAATTTTATGACTTGACATATATTGGGAATTTCATCATCCCAAGTGACTTTCATATTTTTCAGAAGGGTTGAAACCACCAACCGGATATATATATATATATACACATGCATGTAGGCACATAAAATGTAACTATCTAATTTGATCAACAGATTCACATCAGACAGCAGGGTTGGAGATATATTTATAATATAATTATATATATATAATATACCTTATGTCCTTTGCATAGCTTCTGACTCCTGACTACTCGCGATCTACCTACCTTCTGTACGTGATCTACCCTATATCTACCTCATAGTCACCATAAATCTTTGCCACATCTCCATGCAAATCAGGGTTGATCTAACCTCAAATAGGTGATTTGTAGCCACTGGGGGTAAATTTGGTGATGGTGCCCCGTACCTGGCTAGGCTGGCTTATAACTCGTATAACTAGGCTTGCGGTAGGTTTATCAATATTCAGATGGCTTTATAAACCAACTCATCTAATTATATATATATATGTATATAACTATGGGATAGCACCAATCCTCATCCAAATAATGACCTCAAGATTTCCAGATCCTAGACCTATCCTAGACCTGCAGATCCCCGAAGCTCCCCAGCCGCGGCGCCGCAGTATGGCCTTCCGCGTGCCCACGCCGGACGTCTCGGTGGTGGATCTCACCTGCCGCCTGTCGAAGCCTGCGAAGTACGAGGAGATCGTGAAGGCCATCAAGGCCAGGCGGCGAAGTACCAGGGGACATGGAGAGGATGATAGGGACATAGCTACAATAGCTGATATAAAAACGAGGTTACTAATATCTGTATGTAATATACATATATATATAATATACTCTATATATATACATGTACACATATATCTATATAGATAGGTGTGTATGCTACGCAATGAATTTGTAGGTGTGTGTGTGTGTATAGATATAAGATGAACTTGTATTGTGCATACATACATGTAACTAGCATGTGTACATAGCCAACATCTCCTCGAGGGCTGGAAAGCGGGATGCAGGGTGAGTGAGCATCGGATGAGGAGACGTTTTGAGCGTATTCCAGCACCGAAAATCTAGCCTCCCAAAATCCGACCAAGATAGCAGTGAATTGTGAATTGAATCTTTTCTCTATCTTTTTTGAATTTGGTTCACAATACTTGTTTCCCGGCTGGGAATGATTTCCAGATGGGGAGGTAATGTTTTCTAAGACGCAGGGAAGTCGTCCAGTGAAGTGGGGCTGTTTCAAAACGGGCATACCCCAATATCGTTCTTACAAGGGAAAATGACGGAAGACATTGAATGAAGGGATTTCGAATTTTGACACAGAACCGCATGAGGATTTTACAAACAAAACTGGACACATGAATGATATACACTCTGGTAATCAAACATGTCGCTGGACAATTCTCCAATTATAGATGGTTTTCCCATTAAACTGAAATTGCCCATTGAATGAGGCTGTTCAATTGACAGCCATGTTTGATGAGGGTAACAAACAAGGCCTGGGGACGTGGGGATGGAAGGTATCCCCAACTTTGATTCGGTTCGTTTTCATCACTTCCCCACGAAAAACATCGAATAGCACCATACAACTCGGGGGGTATACCATGTATATCCCATTCGAAAAGACAGACCCATGATTTCATGATCCCAAAATGTTCAATCCCCCCAGTGGCGGGGTCACCACTGTCATGGGGTCTTTTGCAAGACTGAGTTGAAGATATTTCTCGCTTGGTGGTTTCATTCATATGGAGGTTTCCTAGGTTTCCTGTTTAAGTCACTTTGGTTTTGCCTTTTTATCATCATCAATCCTCCATTTTTTTTGGGGGGGGATGGATTTATCCATGAAATTTCATACCCTCTGGTAATTTAACGTAGCTATGGAAAATCACCATGTTTGATGGGAAAACTCACTATAAATGGCCATTTTCAATAGCTATTTTGACATAACCAGAGGGTAAACCATCCAGCCATTGAGGATCCCCATTGGCCCATGATGGAAACTTCCAACAGAGGGACGATGATTCCCCCCAGCTCCAGGATGCAGCAGCAGGACCCATGAAGGGCGTTCTGGCGCGGGCCCCTGCTGAAGGGCTCTCTCATCAGCATGTGGATGCCTCTGGTAAACATACAAAAAGCGATTGAAAATGGTCATTTATATATAGTTGATTTAGTAATTCAAAATGGTGATTTTCCAAAGTTATGTTAGTTTACCAGAGGGTATCAGTGGATTATTAGATGAATTACTAGTTACTAGTGGGAATTTGATCATTACTAGATGGATTTCCATGAAATTCCGTGACAAAAATGATGAATAATGGATTGTCAATGGATTTTTCATAAATGGGATTATTCATGATTCCCGTTTTGTTCTGGGAATTGCTCAGCTTTTTGCATGGAATTCCCGTACCCATTTCTGTTGCCATTTTTGCAAACCTGTAGCTTGGGATTCGCCTCATGACAGCCAATGTGGTGAATAGAAGCAACTTCAGATATCAGGGGATCCATAAATGAGTAGATCACACTCTGCTAGCTGACCCAATCACGAGTCAGTAAACAGACCCGCAGTTTTATGGCTAAGCCAAAATGTTACAGTAGTGTCCTAGATGATGTCTTCGGAGAAACTCGTGACAATGCAGCTCCTGGGAGCTGTTTTTTGTTTTTTGTGGATCCCTTCTGGACCAAAAAAAGCTGATGGCTTTTTGTGACTCATATCATCCTTGTAGAAATCTCATGATTCCCTCATTCTGAATGAGCCGTACTGATAGTGTAAACCCACCAGTGAACTAGTAGGTGATGCACTATTTCAGGTATTCATTCAAGTTCTCAAACAGTTTTGAGCCATATCCATTTGGGTACAGGTCAGAATCGGGTTTATCGACCACGGTTAAGCGATGGTCAAATAAACCCAAGAACAGTTTGGTTTACAGGTATTGCGCTAACCTTGCTTCGGTCAGTCTGCAACTCTTGTATATACATAGGAAAGTTGACTTCTGGCCAAAGAAATAAGACCCATATTGCGGTTCGAGTCACTCGCATTAGCGAAAAAACATGTCATGTAGATCCAAAAATCATCCATCGATGACTTGAAAGAAAGAACGGTGGGCTTTTGGCCGTCAGGCGGTTTGTCATATCCTGAAAGTTACTGCTTTTGCAGAGTATCTAGGATCCTAAGATCATTACAAGCCATGCTATGTACCAAGTACGGGGAGTATGCGCAACCAACCAGCGCTGAATTTTTCAAGTGTAGTTGGAACGATGTTTTTATGTGTCTAAAAAAAAACAAATAATGAACTCTCTGGTCATTTTGGTCAGCCATCCTTGATGTACCATAAATCGTTGGCTTACCAAGCCCAAATGGCAGGTTTATGGTGGTGCCAATGGGTAAACACCAGTTATAACATTTTGGTTCACGATATCTGCTGATTTTTAATCATGTTAAATCCTCATTTGGCTAAGATAACTCATATTCATGGCTATAAAATGAGTATATCTATATTTGGCTATATGTGTATATATATATATATATTGAATATTGCTATTATATTCAATAGACATGCAATTTTTATAGTGAAACGCCACATCAAAAAAAATCCAACGAAGATCGAAAAAATCGTTCACGCCCTGCTGAGGACTGGACGGATGAGGAGGTGGTCTCCACCGATTTCGTGACCTGCAAGGCGTCGTTTTTTGCGTCGTCGATTTGAGGTATGGAATTGATGAATGATGATGAATGGTACACCTTTATTTGATTTTGAATCATAGTAATACTATACCTCAAATACCATTCAATAGTAATTTTGAATGGTATAGTATTGATGATTTTAAGTATGTTATCCATTTGATGAAAATAGTCAATACCCAAAATGTTTCACATTTTCATGAATGGTAATACCCAATTGATGAATGGTATTGACAATTTTGGGTATGTTATCTATTGTTATCTGTTAGGTATTGGAATTTTTAATGCATGGTACTAGATTTGAATGGTATTTCAACCATGGTATTGGCCTCTGAGGGACTTTTTAAACCACTGTATTTGGATATACTGGAATGGTATTTGAATGCTAAAATAACCTCCCATTTTTTTCGAGCTTGATGCATCCTGCCTGTGGCTGAGTTTTATATTAAAAATCACCGGTTCACTGAAGTCTTGCTCCACGTACTGTGGATGAAAGAGACAGATAAAAAAGCACCTATCAACTGGTGCAGGATATCTTCCATCCACAGTAACTGATGATAATATAAATGGTGATATATATATATATAATGGTTATATGACTATGACTCCGATCAATAGGTGATATTTATGTATGGTTATATCAACTATGATGGAAGTATCATCCCTATTTTGCCCAAAGCTTGTGTGGATCATCCCAGTTTTCGCTTTCAACGGAGCAGGCTTCCTCTATCTTCGATGAGAAGGCTGGCATCTCCCTGAACGAACCTCGGCGATGTTCCGTTGAGAAGTAGCTGGGAGGCCAGGAATTGGAGGACTGATCCAGTTTTCAACTGCAAGGTAACATTGGAGCTAAAGGGCACCCAACAAATAAAAGAATTGGAGTATATTTTCAGGCAAGACTGAGGACGTAACCAACCCAAGAGCATTAAGACTAAGTTGTGATGAGGACGCAAACCATGACTAGGTAGGCCCAACTTTAGTTGCCGAGGGAGGAAACATACTGAACTTGCATGAGAACGACCTGTTTTGGACACAAGCCCAAGTCACATGATGGCTATCTTGATATGAATGAAATCAGCCCATTTGACACTTCGGGCCTATATATGGCCCTGTCAGAGTCTTGGGAGTCTTGGATCCAGACCCATCGATAGAACCTTGGTGGCACCAATCGGCGTCTACCGTTGACCGTTCCATGGCGCATCCAAGGACAACTTTGTGAAACTGGTGAGCTGGTACGACAACGAGTGGGGCGCGGAACCCTGGTCTCCTCATTTTTTGGGGATGTTCATATCTCGGCGATCTTAATTGAATTGGCGATGCATGTCCGTCTTGTGATTTTGTTGCTGTACCTCTTCATAGATTTCCAGAAGTGGTTCTAGTGAATATGGCTTTGTGTGAAAATAAATAGCGTAGCCTAAAATCCAATAGTTTACTATCATTGTGCCCCTCAAAATACTGTAACCACCATTTTTGTATATGCAGGAACCCAGCACTATTTAAGCTGGTACAAGTCTGTTTTCATTTCCCGTCCATTTTGCTCAAGCAGAATCTAGCCACCTCTAACTTGACCATGGATCAATCCATTCATCCCATATCAGTGGCGGACTGTTTAAGCTGAGTGCATATATACATATGTATGTATATACATGGTTCTTGGGTGTGTTAGCATATGTAGATACATGTCTCTATTTGTCTATATACGTATATGTATGTATTGTATATCTATATCTCTATCTCTGTCTCATATCTATATCTATATCTCTGTCTCATATCTATATCTCTATCTCTGTCTCATATCTATATCTCTATATCTCTATATCTCTATATCTCTATATCTCTATATCTCTATATCTCTATCTATCTATCTATCTATCTATCTATCTATCTATCTATCTATCTATCTATCTATCTATCTATCTATCTATCTATCTATGCATATCATCCTTGGTTTTGTGCTGTTCCCGTTGATTCACTCCGATGCATCCCTGCGACCGCAGCTCCTTTGACCGAGGCTACTCGAACCGCTTGGTGGAGTTGGCGATCCATATGAAGAAGGTGGATGGATGATCTGCAAGGCCAAACAGCCTCGGAAAGTGGAGATGAAACACGCCGAACCGGGAATTTTTCTCGAAAAACTCAGCATCCAAAGTGGCAATTGGTGGATTTGTGATGGATTTTTGATGGTGAATACTGGTATCACTAGCGGTTCACCCGGTTTGTGATGGAGATATCTGTAGTGGAAAAAATGGGGAGCCCCTTCCTGCATTGGCATCCTCAATTTCTGGTGGTGTATTTCGCGTGCTTCGTTGAAACCCCAATTTCTTGCTTGCTTCAACATAGGTATTGAAAATCACCATGTCTAAAAGGTAAATAATCTATTTTTATGGGCCATTTTCAATAGCTATTTTGACATAACCAGAGGGTATATCCCATTAATCATCATGAATTACCAATAAATCACAATTAACCATCATTAACCACTATTAAGTTCTTGTGACTTGACCCGCAGGCTTGACCCGAACAGTTCGATTCAGTTGTCCCGGCGGTGTCCTGACGCGTGAAAGCAATCGCCATCCGGCAGTTTTCAGTGAATGTATATACATAGATATACACATACATATACACATTTATACACTATATATATATATATGTATATATAGATGTATACACAATATATACATAATATATACATAATATATATATATATACATATATATATATACATATGCACATGTATATATGGTTTTGTGTGAAAATTGGGCACCCATCCACTGATTGTCATGATTTTCCCTAGGTATACCCCATTTTGAGACACTCATATGAGCGAGGATGAGAAGATTGTCATGGGAGCTAGACGACCATGACAATTTCCTCTAACGAGGGATTCTCGGGGTGTTTTTTTTGGCTGAACAGATAGTAATATACGATAATATACAATATATATATATATATAGATAGATAGATAGATAGATAGATAGTCATACACATGCATATTTGAACATAGTTACATGTGTAGCACTTAAATCTGTAGCACTGGATGGTCTCAACCAGCTTGCAATCCTAATCATAGGGACATATCTTGGGCCAAGGATCCTAGATCAGTTCATGGTGCTCTCCTGTCATGGCTCTCTATGAAGGGGTCATAGCATCGCTTCAGATAGGTTCAACGGATGGCGATGATCAATACCTGCCAACTCTGGCTGCCACATGCAGAAATTGTCCTCTGATGTACTGTGGTGAAAATATCCTTTCAAGGACTGAACATGAGCACGGGGTTGCAATTTACAGGCCTGGGAACCGCAACTTGTTGTCATGTTTACTATCGAGATCAATGTCATGGTTTTTTGGGGGATCAGTTACTGAGTTCGATTCGTACCCAGTCGGATTCTCGTACCATTTCATTGCTAAAACCTTCGCGACAGTAGCGATTCCTTGACTGTCCTAGCCAAAATCTACGACGAAAGACGAAGGAATTTGACGAGCAAAACTAGATCTTGTATCTAAGACGTGGGTATCGCTCTAAATATTGTTCCGCAGCATCGGATGTGTAGATATTTCTTTTCCTACCTCCTTGTGGTGTAAAGTAGGTAAACCTCAGCTTGGTCGGTTCATGAGTCAAGTTTTTGACATTTTGATGGAGGACAACTTCCGATCCTTCCAAAAATGAGTTGTCCTTGCAGGATATGAATATGGGTGTGTTAATTTGAATATTCCACTGGTTTATCATAGTCTTCCTTATTAAGATTGCCATGATTGGGGAAAATCCCACATTTTCATCCATTTTTGGACACACTCTTTTCCTACCAGTATATCCTGCTAAACACGTTTTTTTCGTTAAGGTTGGCCGTGTATGCGCCAGCAGCATGTGACAGCAGCACTTGTGGCACTCTTTCTTGACCTCGGGCAAAGTCAGGGGTCGTTTCTATGTCGGTGTGGTCGGCTGCTCCCACTTAAAGAGGAACCACTCATGGGACTCATGGAAGTGCAGTTCCAGTTATAAGTGGACATATATATATACATTATATATTGCACATATATATATATATATATCACCATCGTTACAACATTTCTATTCCAACTTTTGGGGGTTTATTTCACGCTGGTTGCCAAAGGGAAACCTCAACTGCAGACCCCCCCGACCATCGATCACATCGATTTACACAAGCATGCGTATCCCTGGTCATTGTTGTGTACCCCAATTCTCTCGAAGTATTCTGTTGATTATGCGGATCAGTTAATTAACATGATGGTTTGAAAGCAACGCTGTATCAGCTTTTTCTTGGTTATATAAATACCTCAATTGGTTGGTAGATTGGCAGACTGGTAGATCATTATATCCCCTGTCAATTGGGATCGTCATATCTGAAAGAACACCCAAACCAAGGCCCCTTTGTCTTACACGACACTACACAGCACTACTGCTCCCTTCAGACGATGCAATAAAACAGGGTGAGTCAACCCATTTATAGATGTTAGTACCCCAACTTATTTGTAGGTCATATCCCACTTGCCCTGTACCTCGGAAGGTCTATCTGAGTCTATCTTCATTTTCAACTTCAAGGACACCTAGATCTTATAGCAGCTATCGATGGGATTATCTACTCACCAGCTATTGGCCATGTTATAGGGGGCGGCCCAACCAAAAAATATCCCTTGGCACTCCTTGGCCGAAATGGATCACTGCATTGACTCGCGTCGCGTCGCGTCGAACCACCGGGCACGAGAATGAAAATCGGATGATGGCTTGGAGTTCCATACTTGGAAGATGGGTGTGCCGAAAGATGGGTATGTCTGAAAATGGGGTATACCCCCAATTGTAGCCATTTAGTAGGGATAATGATCATTAACCATTGGGTGTAGGGGTACACTATTTTCAGACAAACCCAGATGGATACCCCGTATCATTTCATATCATTTCCAGATTTTCCAGTGGCAAAGATTCGATTCATTGGAGAAAATGGGGGCACCCCATTTTCGCACACGGTAAGTAGACATGGTTGATTTTTCAGATCAGTTGGGGCTCCAAATCTTGGTGGCCATGTTTTTTTGGGCATTTTGGGGTCAATACTTTACCCATCAGATTACACCTAATCAGACATTCATCAAGATGAATGCATCGTTTTTTTTTGACATTCATCAGATTACACCTAATCCCGATCAGCCAATCACTACCAAAAGATGAAACAAATCATTCTGGTCCAGTGTTCCACTGAAAAAGACCTCGAAAAGGACATGTTTGTAGGACATCGCATGACCTAGATTGACCAACGAAAAACACCCAGAGTATCCCAGAGTTATGTGAGTTACCCTCCGGTAATTTAACATAGCTATTGTATAGATGGCCATAGAAATAGTTGATTTCCCATCAAAAATTGGTGGATTTTCCATAGGTGTGTTAGTCTACCAGAGGGTACGTTTGATGGAGATAAGATGGACGGCTTTTGATGATCACTTTGTCTGACCAAGGCTCCGAATGGAGATGATTGATGACCCCTGGGAACCAGCGGTGATTCGAGCCACGACAAACCAACATAGGGATTTACCCTCTGGTAAACGTTTACATAACTATGGAAAATCACAATTTTCAATGGGTAAATCCACTATTTCAATGGCAATTTTCAATAGCTTTTTGTTAACGTTTACCAGAGGGTACCTTCAGAAAGATTCAAGAAATGGACAGAGGTACTTCCCCAAAGAAATCATGAAGAGCTTACTACGCCACCAAATGATAGGTGGGATGGGGTTGCCCATTTCGGAAATGCAGAAACCAATAATGGTGTCCCGGCTCCAGACGGCGCGTGCTGCGCGAAACCTTGGGCCTTGATCTCCTCGATCTCCGCCGGGGCCGGGCGGCCTTGAATAGGGTAGTGGGGTTGTTAAAAGTTAGGATAGGCAGATCCCAATCCAGTAGTTTACCCTCTGGTTATGTCAAAATAGCTATGGAAAATTGCCATAGAAATACTTGATTTTCCTATTCAAAATGGTGATTTTCCATAGTTATGTTAGTTTACCAGAGGGTATCATCATCATCCGGATCAGCCAAAAGGGCACAATCAAGACTTGGGACTCCGGACTAGGCATTTTGCGAGGTACTGGAGTCATTTACAACTGGTTTATCACCGTGATTTCTACCATTTATATCCATTTATTATATAACCATAATCCTCATTCTCAGCTGTATATCACTGTATACACTGTATATCCCAGTTTCTTGTTTATTATTTGCCACATATGCTGGGAATAGTGGAAATCCAGCTAGCATGTTGGTCCCTTGAACGTGTTTGGCCTCGTGAGGGGCCCAATTTGAAACCCTGACCTGTGGCATGGCATGACTCAGGGAACTCAACTCAGCCTCCTACAGTTCTCGACCATTCTTTGGATTGCCTTTACGTTCGAAGTTTGATGCTTGAATTTATCAACTTTGTGTTACCCTCTGGTAAACTAACATAGCTATGGAAAATCCACCATTCTTAATGGGAACATCCACTATTTCTATGGCCATTTTCAATAGCTATTTTGACATAACCAGAGGGTAAATCCCAGTTTTTGATGATTAACCGATTAACCCCCCATTTTTTGGGGATGAGCATCCAACGCTTCAAGTCCGGTGTCCCAGGACTGTGCATGCGCGTGTGTGACGACTGCGGATGGGGTGCCGAAGACTGGGGCTACGGGGCTACGCGGGAACGGGGTGAATCCTCCTTTTGCTCAGAATAGTGGGTTCATGACAAGACTTTATCCCTAGAAACATGATATTTGTTGCGGTTGTTACAGATATCCCAACATGGCAAGATGGGATCTTGCGGGAATGGGCTCTGATAGGTGAGATTACCAGAGGGTTTTTTTGATTTGAGATATGCACACTAAACACATATGTGCAAGTTGTATAGAATCATCTTTCAAAATCCCGGAAACTAAGGGGTCATGGTTTGTCTCAACGAGGATGGTCATCCCCCAATACTCCACCATGTTGAGAAACCACAGGCCGACCTGTGATAAAAAGCTACGTACAAATAGCAGCTTGAGATCCACACGCCAAGCGATTTGAAGATTCCTTTCCGTGTTGC